GAACACTATGACAATACTAAAAACCTCTCTCACCACTGGCCTCCTGAGAACGAGAACATGAAATATGGCAACAGCAATGATCTCGAAATCAAACTCAAAGACAAAAACAATGATCTGGCCCCGATATCTGTGAATGAGCCATATATAAAGCAGCAGGAGCAGGTGGATAAGATGAGTGATAATTGGTAACCTGGCAGAGTTAGGCAGGTGAGCGAAATGACTAATTAGGTCAGCTATCAGAGTCACAATCCTGACAAAAATCTGTTGCACCACCTCCTAATTTCATTTCCTGTGTAAATGATGATTGGAATACAAGCTGCCGGATGCAAATCCTACAGCAGTTTAAGAAAAGATGGTGTAATTTAGACTGACGCTATCAGGTTATAAAGGTCAACTTCACTATTGGTTCTTTCTTACATTTTTCATCAGTACGGTTTTCTTAGACTAACTAACCTGAATAAATATGTGGAGAGAGTTACCTACTGCAGGTAAGATATTACCATGATATGCAGCAATGTTTTAGCAGATTTTGGCTTAAAGTTGTAAATAAGGTCAAACTTTCAGAGGTTAACTGTAAGCTTTGAGAAGGCAGGACTTACTGTAAGTGAATGGCTGCTTGTATTCAGGCCTCTTGCTAAAACAAAGTCTGCTGTTTTGGATGGCGGAGCTGCTTTGACAGATGGTCCGTTAAGCCATTTTTGAGCAGCACTTGGTTTCAGCCAAGCAGGCTGGTATTATGTTTCACAGAACAGAAAAGTACATGCACACACACATTTGTGAGGAATCAGTTCTGAGTCTGGGGACTGTTTTCTTTTTTACTTTCCAGGACTTTTTCACCGACATTTCAAAGCTGAAGCCCGATCTTATTTTTGTTTCTGTTTTGTTTGGCAGACAAAGACCCACGGGCCCAGCTTTACTCGGATCCACGCACCTTGGCCTGTTTTGTGTAGAGAGGCTGAGTTTCTGAAGATTAAAGTCCCGACCAAGCAGGTAAGTTTAGAGTAGCTTTCTGAAGCCTTCAGGATTAGAAAAAGTCACTGGCTGCATATACGCTGCTATACAAATGTTTAAAATGTACATTTTAGTCATTTACAATAAGTCACATTTCAGACACAATGCTTCGTGCATTTTAGTTGGATGTTGGTAAAATGAATCATATACAAAGGAAACTGTGGCTGCAGAGAAAATAAAATGCATGATCCCTATTTAATATGGAGTCAATTTCATTCCATTATTGTTGCAAATAACCTGTTTTATAAATGGAAATTTGAAAATAAAATGCAATCTTCAATGAAGAAAAATCTTAAATTATAAATAAAAACATGGTTTGAGTATTAATGTGCTATTTTTTTAAATCTATTTTTAAATCATTTATTTTTATCTTGTGTTTTATTTTTTCATTTTGAAAATTTGATTATTTCAAAGTTTTCTTTTTCAGGTTTAGTTTTGCAGATTGCGTTGTCTTCACTTATAGGGATGGGCTTTGATCTGAAGGGAGAAGCATAGACACATTTCTATTGGTCTGTGTGGACATTAGTGACATCATTTTTATTGGTGAAGAGTTAGTGTTTGTATTGGGCTTGGAGTCAAGAGAATGTGTCTATCTAGAGAATGTCTATAAAATGCAATATTAAAAACTGCTATTTGTACAGTAATCTGAAATAAAGATATATACAAATGTATAAAGTGAAAACAAAGTATGAAAAAACAGCAAAGTTGCACAACATGTTTTTCTTTAATAAGAAGTTTTCTAAGGTTCATTAACTCACAGATGAAAAGCTTTGACTAAAAAGTTTAAATCATTTGAAAGTATTTGTACGGGTAACAGACTGAACAGATTGGTCAAAAGGTTTCTATCTAAGGAAAACCAGTTGATTGCATCGATTCTTTCACTCAACAGCAATTCTCAAACTAAGCATGCTTGTAGCAACAGTGGAGAGGAAAAACTCCCTTTTAACAGGAAGAAATCTCCAGCAGAACCAGACTCAGCGTGAGCGGCCATCTGCTGAGGCCGACTGGGGTTCAAGGAGACTGAAAAAATTATTGACATAAAGGAAATAATTTTTTGGCGATTAGAACCCGACAGCAGACTTTGATGTTGTGAATCAATTTTTGCTTGAATGAGTAACCTAGGAAAATAATTAGAGTTATGTTTCCTCCTAGAAAGGTGCCAGGGCCGAGCTAGGAGGCTAGATCCCCAAGCCAGGGAGCAAAAGGACAGAAATTAGAGGAGAGGCAGAGCAGCGCTGTTAATCGCACTGAAGGAGAGGCAAATAGAAAGCATGCACCACAGCATGGTGGGACAGGATAAATAGAGAGAGACTGATCAAGACAAAAGGGAAAGTGTTTATTTCACACATGAGGATTCACGACTGAAAATGGAAGATGATAATAATGATGAGAGCTGGTTGAGAGATTGTGTGCTGGATGAGTTGCATTGATGGACTGAGAGACTGCAGGTGTGAAGAAAAGCAGAAAATAAGCTCAGCATGAAGATAAAAAATAAAAGAAGGCTTACCACCACCAGTCAATGCTCTTTATGCCTTCTGTAGGCTAAGAGAACGTTGGGCATTAAAGGGGGAGGTGCAAACAGTTGCAGGGAGCTAAATTAATTAATTATTTTGGAGAAAGTGTGTAACCCTCAAATTTCAAAAACTCCATCAGAACTCCGCTCACATACATCGTGCGGAGTACTTGTCTGTCATGTTTATCACTGAGAACTGTTCCACTCCCCCGCTACACCTCCACACGTCACTATACATGTACGTTTTCTCCGTCTGTCACCGTCAAAATACGGAGCTGAGCAATTTGTTGCTCCACTCCGGTCCGGCCGGGTCAAGATACGCAATTGCACAAAATTATAAAACATTTTTTGGGGTTTTTGGTAAAAACTGCAACTATCAGAATATAAAGTCAAATATATTTCCCCAGCAGGTTTTAAACCGTTTCAGCACAGTTTTAATAATTATTCCCTAATAAGTCATAATGATCAAAACACTCTCACCTAGTACATAAAAAAAATATTTTTTTTTGGCTTTTCTATGTAAAATATGGATTCATTTTTAATAGTCGTATGCTGACAGCACCACAGCAGCAGAGATCCCGGCTCGGGTCTCCCAGACAGCTTCTGGATCAGCTTCTGTAACTGGTAGACACTCAGTGTCCCGGTGCACATAATTTTTCAAAGCGCCCTTCTCCCAATGCTGGAGAAAACGCTGGACCACTCAAAGCTCTTTATAGACTTTGTGTCAGGATTTGGTGTGGATTGAGGACCCAAAAGCAGAGGCAAGTTGGCAGAGGTGAATTTTGGTGGGTTTAATGAAGTTTACATGTACGGAGGCAGGAATCAAAGATCCAACAAAAATAACAACGAACCAGAACCAAGGAGACATCAGGGGAAACCAAACTCTAGGAGCCAGGGACAGGCGAGGTAAACAGACAGACGTTTGACGAGGATCCAGCAAAAAGGAACTGAAGAGGGAGGGCTTTTAAAGGGGACAGAGACAAAGAGAGGGCTAACGAGGGGATTGAAAACAGGTGAGGACAGAGCAAAAAACAGAGCTAGGAAAAAAAGGACACAAGAGGGCAGCAGAGGACAACAAATGGAAAACCAGGAAGACAGGAACTAACAAGAGAATAATAATTAAACACTAAGACAAGAAGCAAAGTAAAGCTGAATACTCTAAATAAACATAACAAAACCAAGACTGTGACACTTTGCATATGGTTAGATCTTCTTATTAGAGTCTGAGTATATAATCCAAACAGACAAGAGCCAACAGACATATTTGTAATGTAAATGGTAATATATATTTGTATATAAATGTTTTTAATAAATGTGTCTGTTACTGTCAAAGGTTGAGTAATCACTACATCTTCTTGGTTTCCTCAGAGCTATGAACTCAAAGAGGAAAGTGGGTTTGGGTCCAGCATGAGCTCAGTGTGGAGGAAAGTAAAGCAGCCCTTTCAGCCCAAAGTACCTCAGCAGGACCAGGGAAGCACCAAGTTTCTGTCACACTGCTTCTCCAGAGACAAACTTCACATGTAAGACAAATNGTATTGCATCATATTGGTTGCACATACTGTATTGTCATCCAAACCAATCTATACATATTGTCTCATGATAAAGCCAGTGACTTACAGCCTTAACTAAAATAGGTTTGCCTAACTTACAGCTATACTGACATTAATTTAATTTTTTTTCTTCTAACCGTTGTGAGGAAGCCTGAGCACCCAAAGATCTGGGTTAGAGGTAATGAAGTGAGCCACATTACAAGTAACAAGAGCACGAACCTGGACACCTGTTCAAATGAAGTATTTAAGATGTTGAGTATTTAAGGCTCAGGTTGAAAGGAAAACCCATCCTCTGTTCAAATGTAGTTATTAAGCCACATTATGCAGTGTGTTCTACAGGTAGACGATACATTGAGAATAATTTGGACACAGTTTTTGTCCAAGTTTTTTTTTAATTGGCATTGCCCTGATGCTTGGTAGCTGAGTCCACTAATTCATTAGCCAGGCCTTTAAATCACATGAATTGTGGCATTGCTGCTCCCTCAAGTTGATATTCATTGATAAATGTTCTTATATTTATTAATAAATATTCCCTGCAGGCTTAGTTCTTGTGGCATTTGCCTGTTAATAAACAACATAGAGGCCATCTTGTAGCACTTCCACTTTAACTATTTAGGCAATCATGTTCCAGTATTATGGTGCAATGTGGGACATATATCTGTGACGAAAGCAAAATCTGCCGAGCACAGAGCCAAACCTGAATAACCATGGAAGGGCAGGAGGATGTGTGCCCTGAATAACCATGGAAGGGCAGGAGGATGTTTGCGTAGCTGCTAACAAAACTAAATGCAACCAAAAATAACCATTAATCATCATGGATGATGTGTGTGAGAATGTACTATTCTTATTAGTTGTTTTGTATCAGTTATTGTTATTTATTTCTTATATTATGTGTAAATGGTGGTGACAGTGATCTTTGTTTTTTAAGCATATGCACTGATCGATGGAAATTTTTTAAAATTTCGTTGTTCTTGTGACAATAAAGATAAATTGAATTAAATTGAAATTGAATCATCCTGTTTCGTCAGAATCAATTGTTTAATTTCTGAAAAATGAACAAGAAGAGCATAAAAGTGTAACCTGTTGTGGTTTCTATTGGCATCTTCTGCTATTTCATATGCTACTGTGATCGGTTAAAAGGAAACTTTGGTAGGCGGGCTCTAGGTGTCCTCTCACCCAATCAGCTCAGATGGTTCAGATGGATGTCCCTACTTTGTTTGGATGAGACCTGATTGATAATCTATAGGACTAACCCTGAGTGCTACACATTTTCATTCTGACTTATGAAGTTAGAATAATGTTTCTCTCCTGTTTAAATCAAGATGTGTCTAACTTTTCATTGTTAGTTTTATTAGTTGTGTTTATTTTAAGCAATATTCCCTTTGAATAAGCCCCCCCCAAAGAGGGGATTGGTGGCCTGGTGGTTAGAGGATTGCTCTTGGGTCCTAGAGATTCTGCGTTGAAGCCCCACAGACTCCCACAGGCTGCTCCTCTGGGTGCCAACATTGCCCATCCCAAAGGGGACAGGTTAAATGCAGAGAGGGAATTTCTGCACTGTGTGAAAAGAAAGGAATTACACATTTTACACAAATGTCAGCAGTCACACCGAAGGTCCAAATGCTGTGAATGGTATCATCATCATCCAATTGGTATAGGTTATTAGCTTTTTATAAGATATTTTTGGCTTTTTTTATGTGTATTCAATAATTAGCATAAGTGAATAAAAAAAACAAAAAAATAAAAAAAAAAAACACAAGAATTAGGTGCATAGATTTGAATTGGTTGTGGATTTCTTACTTAACGACATCCTGAAAATGAAACCAGATCAAGTAGACATGTAGCGTCCCGCCAACATTTGGCTTCGTTAGCTGCAGCCCAAGCATATGTAATTTATGCCTGGCTGGATATTGGACCACTTATCTATAGGAAAGTGGTAGAGCTCAGTTCATTCCTGTTGTTTCTTGGCGTACATCAACCTTCTCCACATTGTTTTATGTATAATACATATTAGAGGTAAAGCCTGTTGGAAAACTGTTCTCGTACCTTAATGCTACCCTATATTACCATGTTCTAGAACTGGTTTCTTTGCATTTTGTTCACCTCTATTTAAATCAGGAATACCCAGATGGATCCAAGTTTTTCTCATTTGGCCTCAGATAGAAATGAAAGTTGTCCGTTCATTTAGGAACAACCTAAACGCTATCATAAGAATGGCAATGGTGCAAAGCCTCTGACGCTTGACTGAAATCTCCATATGGCCATAAACAATTTAAAAAGTCATTGGAGTAAAGATTTATGGGACAGAAAGACAAAAGTTGAGACTTAGAACAAATCTTACTGTACAAATTGTAAATTCTGGTGGGGGCAGCATCTGCTTATGCCAAAAGGACAGTAATGCTGATCTTTGTCCATCCCTAAATCCAAACTCGTCAAGCTCTTGATTCCTACAGGGTCACATAGGGAATAATTGGGTGGCACACAGGGTACTCCTCAAACAAGTAATATAGAGGACTGATTAACCTATACAGAAAGGACCAAGGTCTAGATTGGAACTAAGATCTTTGAGACATTTAAGCTCCTGGCAAGTAAAATCATTCCCATCCTCCCTGTCAAACTGTAATGATTCACAGATCCTTTTGTGTTATAATTGCTTTTGTTAACGTGTATTGACTAATTAATTACTTGACAAGATTCACTCCATTTTAAAATGTGCATCTTCACCTTTTTTTTTTCTTTTGGATTCCCCCCGCTGATTTCAGCTTGTCAAAATGTGTTTGAAAAGGCACAAAGAAAATGTTTGAAGCACGCTCTAACCGTGGACTTTAAGAAACAGGGGCATTTGTTTGACAGCTTGTGTGTTTTTTTTCTCCCTTGTAGTTGTTAAATGAAAATGGTTGGCGCAGTACATTCGATCCACCTACATAAACTCTCACCGCTTGATTCCCATTATTTAAATACAAAGAAACACATCCATAAAAATCTAAAGGCTTTTTTCTGTTCGTCTTAGGTACAACATCACGTCAAAAGACACTTTCTTTGATAACGCTACCAGAGGAAGAATAGTAAGTGTGTCTCTTTATACCCTTCTGTGATCATCATGTGTTTTTTAGCTTCCATTTCTTTCCCCAGACTGACGGTTTTAAATATTTTTAAGGTCTATGAGATCCTGAGACGAACGGTGTGTGTACGGACCTGCCAAACCATAGGTATTGTTTAATCAACATAACAGATCATCTTCTTTTCATCTGGTATTAAAAGGTATTATTGTAACTCAACAGTTTTATTAGAAATGGTAAAAAAAAAATCTTAGTTACAAAAGAGAATTAAAAAGGTCGCTTGTTTCTGGCACAATCTCCAAGCTGTCTGCTTCAGTAATACAGTGTTTTCCACTAATGCCTAAAGACTCCTAAAAAAACAAAATAATTCACATATCATGATGTTGCCTCCACCATGTTTCTAAAGGCAATTTTCTTCTTTTCCAAAAACTTTTAAAAAATTCTTGCCGCTCTTTGTTTGTCGCTTCAAATCCTAACAAAATACCTGAAGGTCTATGGTTGTGTAGCGATGAAAGGATAAGAAGGGATCTAAGAATCACAAGAGAGTGCAGAGAAGGAGCATGAACTCATTCATGTGACATATTGGGGGCCTTGTGGTATTGAAAGCTGTCGACAATGTCTCTCCACGATATCCCTGATAGGAAGATGTGGCTATGTTCTGGACAGGAGAATCTGCACAGGGGCATTATTTGTGATGTTTTTGGCATTCCCATAATATTCCCCCTTAATATCGTTTTGCAAAAAAAAAAAAAAATGTCACCACAGCCTCTGGATATCGTGAAAGCCATGGCTCCTATGTAGAAGTGAGCTGACACCCGTTTCATGTCCAGTGTTCACCATATGTCTGGTTGGCTGGCCCATCGCAGCAGACGGTCTCGGCCAGCGGGTACTGACAGGGCTGCAGGGAAGGAATGGTAGAGAAAATGGAACTCTTCTCTCTTTACCCTTCCTTTTCTCTATTCCCTTCATCCCAAGCGCAGCACTGGTATTCAAAGCACACACACTCACACACACACACCCTGTTGCTCTGCACCATCTCTTCCACAAGTGGGTCATACTTCCTAGGTCAGCTAAAGATTGAAGCTTGGCCTCTGGGAGCTGGGGTTGTTTCTGGATGAGTGAGTGAGCATTTGGATGTTAGACACAGGTGGTAAATGCTTGGTAACCAATCCCCTGTTCAGTTTCCTGCAAGTGTATTAAAACTGCTTGAATGCACTTCAACTTATGTCACATTACAACCACAAACGTTAAGAAATTTCATTGGGGTTGTGCATGATAATAAACAGAGTGCTTAGAAATGCAGCCATTCAAAATGGCCCTTCCTAGTCAAATGCGAGCCGAATGGCAGCCTACTTCCCTGCGACTCCCAGCAAAATCCCCTCCAACTTCTAGCCACTGGCCTTCTCCTGGGCGTGCATATTTTTTTACTCAGACTCCACCCTTTCACTTGATAACAAGGTCTGACCAGGACATGGCGCTTCTCTTTAGATCCTAATGTCCACAAATCATGACAGAAAGAATATTTTATTGCAAAGATTTATGTTTAAAAAGGAATCGTGGGGGATCAGCCAAGGGCCCATCAAGGAAAGTGGGGAAAATTGAAATGGCTACTACTGTTCATGTGTGAAGTGGAAGGAAAAAGGGAACCACAGTTATCAAGTTGAGGTAAGGAGTGTCACATGGAAACGCTGGCGGAGCTGCAAAGATCCACAGCTCAGGAAGGACAATCTGTCATCAGGAAAACCAATGGTTCTACATTTTAGTGGAAAAAAGAGTGCAAAATTGGAAAGAAACAGACAAACCTGAAGCTCAACCCTTGGCCTCTGCTGTGCTGAACTGGTTGACATCACTAGCCTCTGTGTTGTTGTCTTCATGAGGACTTTTGAGACGCTCTTTGTCTGACACATTTCTCTGAACCTGTTTGCCATGGAAGACCTTACCAGGGTTATAGGTGACAAGCAAGATAGCCTTGAAACTCCTATACCACATTAAGGCATCAAAGAGGGCCCAAGAGACTTAAGCCCAAAAGAAAATCTCTTGATTTACTGGGGAGTCCACGTTCCCACTCTCAGCTATGGTCAAACAATCTTGGATACGGCCATAGACTCTGGGCCCTTCCTTAGAGGTCAGCCACCAAGAAGGGGGTAGGAGTAGAGCCATGCTCGGTCACATCAAGAGGAGTCCATTGACATGGTTTGGGAATCTGTTTGGAAGGTGGACCAGGACCCGTTGAAGGGACCATAACTCTCCTCAGGACACAGAAAGCCTTGGGCTTCCACCTGAGGAGTAACAGCAGTAGATGATCGGGGTCCTGGATAACCCGGAAGACATCAAATTCTAGGGATATTTGTGAAAACATTTTAAAAAACATAGTTTCCAAACTAACAAAACGCAAATTAGAATTAAAAAATCACTTTGGCGCTTTTAGTTAAATTCTGTTGTAAAAATTCAAGACAGTTAAACCATTAATAAACCTTGCTTTTAACTTAAAGCTGATGTTATAACAGTGGGTTCTATGTTGGCCTGTTTTAGGGTATTAGATGCAAACACTATTCTATCATTTAGTTTAATTTATCCTCTTGTTAAGCCGGATCAGCTTTAAATCCTCAGTAGAACATATCATGACTTACCATTCCTCCTTATTTTTGACTTCCTTGTTTATGTGTATCCCATAAAACTGCCCAAAAACTGATATTGTTTGTGGTTGTAACATGAGAAAAGGTGAGAGTTAGAAGAGTTAAGAGTTTTTCTGGTAGGTTGCGTTCACATTATAGGATTTGTTACCAATAGGCAGAAATTAGGTTGGCCAGACTTTAATTTACGCAGGACATCTCCCAGAGGTGAGAGTCAGGTAGGCTGATGTCTCTCTGTGTCCCAGATTCTCTGCATCTGGAAAACTCGACTAACAGCAGTCATGGAATAAAAACCTACCAATAGTCAGAATATCTGGATAAAATTTTCTTTGAATATGTCTTTTCTGTCTCTTGTCCAGGCATCAGCACATTGATAGCCAAAGGCGTATATGACTCTGCCTTCCCTCTTCATGATGTAAGTGTAAGCCCTTGAAGTCCCATAATGCAACAGTTTGTTGGATTGTGCTTAATTGTTTGGTTAATGTGTGAAAAACTCTTGGAAAGAACATGTGCACTGGAAAAATTATCTAGAAAAAAAGTAAAAATTCCTTAAATCAAGTGCATTTACCCTTAATTTGAGTAGGTAAATTACATATTTTGCCAATGGAATGAGTATTTTTAACTCTTAAAATAAGATAATTAGATAACTTACACTTGAAATAAGACAATGCAATTGTGTTTTCTTATTTTAAATGTAAACCATCTTGTTCCACTGGAAAAATGTGTCTTTTACCTCCTCAATCCAAGAACATATGCACTTATTTTAAGAAATAATGACTTATCTAGATTTCGATTTTTTCCCACTGTGTAGTTATTTAGTTTTAGCCTTTTTACACTGTTTTGAGACAAAAGTCACAAATTTGAAAATCTGGGATGTTTTAATTGTATAGATCGAAAATCGTATCATTAATTGTAAATTTGTTAGCTAAATTAAATTAAAGGTAAAGGCTATTAGTTCCACTTTTCTGGCTAGTAAGTGGTGGGAACACACTTGTCTGCTATCCACTGTTTGCAAGTCAGTGGCCAGACCTGCTAATATTTGAAAATGATAACCTTTGCTTAGGTTTAGCAAATATTTAAAATATAATTTAAAAATAATTTAAAATATTTTAAAATTATAAACATGATCACTACCAGGTCTACACCAGAACTATTGATCTGTACCATCAACCCTTTTGCATATGTGCAACCAGAAATTTATTCAAGTCACCTTTAAATAATGTCATTAGGGTACCTAAACTTTTTATTTCTAACCTTAAACCATTAAAGCATACTGATCATACTATACAAAATACTAGCATTGATTTTGTTGAGTGAATGGATATATTTACATTTTTACTTCTATATATCTAAACATGCTCAGAGCAGTCAGGTGAAATTTTAAAACACGGTGTTTATCTGTTTTTTAGTTCTGTATACTTTTTTTTAACGAATCAGTCAAAAGGATGCATCAATCTACTGTACTGTCTACAATCTGCTGCATCACCTACTGTTGGTTGCATTATAATATTAAAAAAGAGAAACCACAGACGCTCTACTTTTTTTTAGATGACAGGTCTTTTTGCTTAGGATTTTAACAGATAGACCACAGTCTGCACATCAGTCCAATTGGGTCCAAGTTAAACAAAAATTTAGAATGTATCACTTATGTTTATTTCTTCACTCGTCTTCCAGATTCCACGACCACATGCTCCAAAGCAAACGGTGTCTGTTCCCAGGATCCCCCCCACAGATTTACAGCCCTCAGTGGATCATCCAAGAGAATGTCTAGTCTTTGGATGATTACAAAATAAAAAAGATGTTAAAACATTTTTCCAAAACTCACTGTTTTAGAAGCACATCTGCACAGATGTTCACCGGGAACTCTCATCGGTTCTGTCATTTGTTCCCCATAATTAACCTCTTGAATATGGCTCTCATAAATATTGTAAGTTTTCATCATATATCACAGATAAGCATCCAATTAGGAAGCTTTTATCTCCTAAAATGCCAGTTTAACCCTTTATAGGGCCCTCTTGGAAATCCTTTGAAAATAAAAGGTTTCAAGCCAATAGTGTTATTGGAATCCAGGACAAGACCTTATTTGTAACATAAAAAAAAATTGATGGCAAAAATGAATGTCAATGTAATAACAAGAACCAACAACTTGTCGGAATATATTAAGAAAAATAACCAAAGTGTTTCTATAAGAAATTCATGAAAAACACTCTGAGAGTGAAAGAAACACATTTTTGTTTTGTACAATATAACCTTAGAGGCATTTATGCTGATACTGGCACTTCTGTTTTTTAGTTCATAAACCTGAAATATAATTGTTATGTAGGCTTATTAAAATTTTTTGACTTAATTTCCAGTAGGTAATAAATCATTCAAGGGCTCATCTATTTGGTAAAATGCCAAAATCAGATACAGCCATGTAGCAGTATCTTTGCTGAATGGCTGGCTATAGATCTTGTGCTTCTAGACCTGACTAAGGGATGGGGGGGGACTCCATTTGTAAGGGGTATGCAAGTGATCAAAAACGCTAACTGGCCCTTTAAAGCGTTACGAGTTAAAGTAACACGGCTAAAAGTAGAAACACAGAAACACGCCTCTGCTCGTAAATGTCAACATTTATTACGATGCTGTAATCTAAGGACTTATAAACATTAACATTATCTTCATTGTAAGTTGTAACTTATTTGGCAGACTGCCATCAATCAGTTATTCTTAAAATATTTCAGCGAATGAATCCTGATCGGTTCTTTTTGAGGTGTTTTTGGTATTGTCTCTTGTCTCTGCTCATGTTTGTCCCTTTTTGCTCCGTAGGGTGACTATAAGGTCACTGGAAACCTGGAGGAGCGCAACGACAGACAGGTGCTGCGACTCCACTTTCATAGATCTTCCTTTCATGCGGTTTGGCTTTTAATCCTCTGTTTCACTCCTCCTCCGTTCCATCTGTCGGTGTCCTGAAAGAAACACTAAACTTCACTTAAAACTGACAAGGTTTGCTTTCCAAACCGGCCCTGACAGGATCCGCTGTAGCCCACCCTGTGAGATACTTGATCAACTGAAATGAGATCCAATTTTTCAAACAATAGTAGTTTTGTTTTCTGTCAGTTTTTTTTTTTCCTTTCCCCCCACGTTCATACATTTTCCCATCTGTCTAACACTGGCACAGATTGGAGTTTAAGTTCAGTAAACATTCCTCGGAGGCAGAGCTGCTCTGACGGCTGAGAAAAAGTAAACTATTGACTGAAACTCCAGATTGGAAATAAACCCTGATAAATAAATCTGTCCAAAATATACAACAACATAACAGAACGGGATGAAGGCGCAAATTAAGATTTACAAGTAAAACAGAATATTTTTGAATTATATATTGGCTTTTATTATTGAACTTCAAATGTAACAATGCAAAAAAACTATTCAGTGAGCCAATGATTGTGTAAGTTTTCGTTTTTAGGGAAAAGTCTAAAGGAAATTGTTCCATTATTGTGTCAAAGAATATGTTTTGTAAATAGAAATTTTAAATAAAATGTGCAATCTTCACTCAAAACTTTGAAAAACCTTTGAATCAAAGAAGGTTTTGAGAGTAACTTTGCCCTTTTTTAGGAATTTAGTTGGAAAATATGGCCACTGCCAAGACCAAAAAGCTGTTGGAGGATACCAGGAAGACAAGAAATCAGTTGTGGAAGAATTTGGAAGAAAATTAACAATTATTGAAAATTTTCCTGTTTTTCCTCAAAACTCTTGTGAGAATGATGAGCCAAAGTCCTAGAACTAAAGGGATGGACCTTATGAATGACCTGCAGAGAGCTGGAACCAAAGGCTTCCATCTGTAACACACTACGCCCAGAGTGACTCCATTCATCCTGTCCTATAAGGTGAAGTCAGGTGAAACCAAAACAGTCGTGTTTTGAGGGAGCAAAATGCTGAGTTGAATCCAAAGAACGCCTACTGTGAAGCATGGAGATGGAACCATCATGCTTTGGGGATGTTTATTCTGCAAAGGGGACAGTGGATTATTGAAGACGGAAGGTGGCCTGGCCTTCCAGCAGCAGAAGGTTTCAAACACACTGATCGGAAAACAAAGGACTGGTTCTGTGAAAAGTATTTCAAAGATGGAAGGTGGCCTGGTCTTTCAGCAGAAGAAGTTTTCAAACACACTGATCAGAAAACAAAGGAGTTGTTCTGTGAAAAGTATTTTAAAGATGGAAGGTGGGCTGGTCTTCCAGCAGGAGAAGGTTTCAAACACACTGATCGGAAAACAAAGGAGTGGTTCTGTGAAAAGTATTTCAAAGATGGAAGGTGGCCTGGTCTTCCAGCAGAAGAAGATTTCAAACACACTGATCGGAAAACAAAGGAGTGGTTCTGTGAAAAGTATTTCAAAGATGGAAGGTGGCCTGGTCTTCCAGCAGAAGAAGGTTTCAAACACACTGATGAGAAAACAAAGGACTGGTTCTGTGAAAAGTATTTCAAAGATGGAAGGTGGGCTGGTCTTCCAGCAGGAGAAGGTTTCGAACACACTGATCGGAAAACAAAGGAGTGGTTCTGTGAAAAGTATTTCAAAGATGGAAGGTGGCCTTGTCTTCCAGCAGAAGAAGGTTTCAAACACACTGATCGGAAAACAAAGGAGTGGTTCTGTGAAAAGTATTTTAAAGATGGAAGGTTGCCTGGCCTTCCAGCAGAAGAAGGTTTCAAACACACTGATCGGAAAACAAAGGAATGGCTCTGTCAAAAGTATTTCAGAATCCTGGAGTGGCCCAGCTAGTCTGTAGACTTTGGTTTGTGAAGAGCTTGAAAGTTTTCCAATGACAGCCCCGCAAGATCACTGCTGTAGAGATTTGATGGAGGAATGGGCAGAAATAGCAGCTACGGTGCTACAGCAAACCTGGTAAAGACGGGAAACAAAGGTTATGACACAAAGTATTATTTTTGTCCAAATACTTATTTTTCCACAATGATTTACAAATTCTTTCTTTAAAAATACAATAATCTAATTAAAATTATAAATAATATTATAATAATTGTAATAAAATAATATCTTTCTCATTTTGTCTCTCATGGTTGAAGTGCAGTTATGATCAAAATTTCAGACCTTTTTCATCTTTGAACAATAAAAACACTTTTTCTACATTGATCATTTTAAGACACTGGATGGTTTCAAAATACTATTTTAATTGAACTACTGTGTATAAATATATTTGTATATTTTATATACCATAAATAAAAGTGATGAATGCCCTTGTCCTATCGGGCTGCTTTTCTTGGAATAGAATATTCTGCAATGTCTTAATTTTGCTCTCTTCTGAAACAGTAATATCTTTATCTCATTCCTTCAGTCGTGAACAATAATAATTTCTCCAAAGGTTTTCATGTGTGCACCTCTGATCGTTCTGGTTTCACCCCACACCTTGTTCCTCTCAGGCTTTCTTTTAATACAGTCTTCCTCCTACCTTACTGGGTTTCACTTGTCTTCAGGATAGAGTTACTTACACTGCAGCTCTATGGCTCCTCTCCTCTGAGGTTTTGTTTGGACCAATCAGAATGTTCCTGCCTCCAGATCAGCTGTGCCTCTGAAAAAAACCAAACATTTTTCAACTTTAATGACGACACACACCCACATTGGACTTGACTCTGAATGCTTTTCTCTCTCTCTCCCTTTGTGTGTGCATTGTCAGGTTCTTTTCGAAGAGTGGGCAAGATACTCAGCCTTCTACAAGTATCAGCCCATTGATCTGGTCAGGTAATGTCACCATATAGAACAGCAAAAATACTCCTATGTAGATGTTTCATCTTATTCTACCTGGAAGGAGGTGGACTATCTAACTATGACCCTTTATATAAATCTCTGGTTTTAGAAAACAAAAAGGAGAGTCAGTCAATGCATATTTAATTACACAAAGGACAATTATCTCTTAAGTTAATCTTTAATGTTTATTTTTCAGTGATGTTCAGGTTTCTAGCTTCAGGTGTTTGAGACATACCATCTAGACATAAGGAAAAAGGAGAGGAAGCAATGACACAGATGATGTTAAATACTCAGGTACAAAATTAAAACATAAAGGTAATGAAAAATAGAGTATATCCTTTCCTATGAGCTTGTGGACCTTTTTCTGTGCGCTCATATTGACTTTTGGCACGGAGGATTAAACCAATCTGATAAAGTAAACTGCCTATTTTTGTCCTGCTTCTGGCTAGTAACATAGCAAAGCATTTTCAGGATAATATTTTAAGTATTTTAGTTCTAACTTGATATCCAACAACCATCTCAATCATTGACTGATTATTTGTACTCAGTCAAAGAAAAAAATACTTAACAGTAGCTGCAATTGGAAATGTCTGTGTTCATTCAAGACTTAATTTCACTGATGCTAATGTAAGTGTAGCTCTTATAAAGTTCCAAATTTACAATTTCCAAAGATCCAAATTTGATTATTTTAGATTATATTGCTACGGTTGTCAGATCATTTCCATGACTGAGTTAAACGAAATTATTTGATGATGACTTCACTGAACCAAATTTGAACTCTATAATACCCCTTTCCCACTGGCCCAAAAACCCGTTTAAACCCGGTAACAATCGGCTTTTAGTGGCAGTGGGAACAGCTCACTGACGCGTGTATACCCGGGTCAAACGACTCGGCAAGGAGACCCGAGTTAAAATCTCCTAGGCTCTGATCGGCATGCTGTGGGAACACCAGAGTCGGGTTGCCCCGCTAATTTAACTGTTAGCTGGTCGACCCATGCTTGAAAAACCCGCATTAACCTGCTATTTTCAGTGAGAAAGAGGCTTAAGAGAACAACTGTTAGCCTGAAGATGCTTTGCTAACGGTACTAGCCACTACTTGACGGAAAACTTTTTTGTCTCAAGAGGCAGGATTTACTAAATAGCGGCGGATTGCAGGCAGTTTACTTTCTCAGGTTGGTTTTACCCTCAAAGTGACATGGGGCACTTCATAAACAGTCCTATCCCTATAAAAACAGAAACCACCATGTTACTGGAATTAAAATGAGACTTGACAGGGTTAATAAAGGATAAAGGAACAGAAACGAAACATAATTAAGGGAAAAGTCAAGGTATGACGGAGTATTAGAGCCAGGCTAGAGATTTTTTTTCTTCTATTTTGAGAAGAAAGTCGTAACATTACGAGAATAAAGTCGCAAAAATATGAGAATAAAGAAATAAAATTACGAGAATAAAGTCGTAAAATTACGAGAGTAAAGTCACAACGAAAAATTCATAAAATTATGAGAATAAAGTAATAAAATTACGAGAATAAAGTTGTAAAATTATTAGAACAAAGTCACAAGACACTAGTCATAAAATTATGATAACAAAGTTGTATTTTATGACAACTCTTACAAGAAGCACTTTCTTCCCTAAATTTCGAGCATTATGTGAAGTTATACTTTGGCTCTGGTTTGACAAATAAGGAAATCTTTTAGCACCAGCATGAAATTGGGCAGTATGTCAATGTGGACTCAGGTTGCTGATTGGTGGAACTGGTTGGCCATCATCTGCTGGTCGGAGCACGAAGCTTTCTTTCTGAAACAGGTTGTTGTATGATGACTTAATTCTCGTAATATTACAACTTATTTCTCGTAATGTTACGACTTTATTCTCATAATATTACAACTTTTTTTTCGTAATGTTACGACTTTATTCTCAAAATAAAAAAAAGTTAAAAAATTTCTAACCTGGCCCTTAATCTCCGTCGTAGTCAGAGAAAGTGGGACCTTTACAGCTAATTTTCTGTGACTATTCAGAATACATAATAAGCTTTTAACTTATTCTCACTTTCAAATAAAAAAGGCATCTTGATTAAAGGGCAACATCTTTAAGACACTTAAAGCCGGGCATACAGTGCGATTTTTTCGATCGTTGCACGCAGCTACAGTCACACTTTCGTCATACAGTGTGAGTTCACAGCTCACAATGTACTGTATGTTCACACACTGTGCGACCCGACGCTCTCATGCGATCTACCTGCTCACACTGTACGTCTAAAAACAATGTCGGACTCAGATGGCGCTACTTGGACTTGTCTATCCGGAAGCCAAACAAGTAGAAGAGGAATATGAAGCTCACTAGAGTGAAACACTCTGCCTTTGTAATTGTAGTAATTTTGTGCTGAAAGCCCTAAAAAGAAAAGGCAACAACAACGTATTTGGAAAAAGACATGGCTGAGTAAACGTGGCTACTACATTCTGTCAATTTTACAGAAAGATCTCAGTTTCACTCGCACCCTCGCCATGCTACTGTATTTTCATTTGAGAGGAAAAAGAAGAAGAAAAATCCTTGTTTGTGCATGCCGACCGAGCGATTTGCCCACGGCCACCTTACGATGGCTGAATGAATTTCAAACACATTATATTTTCTCCCCACCTCACAAATCCTGATCAGGAGGTGGTCGTGAGAGGCTGATCGCCCCTCGTTACCCCCTGTACACTGCACAACGCACGATCAGGCTGAAAGTCGACCCCATCTAAAAATTCTCGCATGGCTGGAAAGTCATCCCAAAAAGGGCAAATATGGTACAGTGTATGCCCGGCATAAGTTGTTCCTAGTTACATTTTAAATTTGTCAGACTGTCCATCCAGACTCACTGCAGTAATATCTAACACAATCACCAATGCCAGGCTTTGCAAACTCATCCCTCACTCTGATGTCGTGACTGCATTGTCTTGTTTTCTCAGGAAATACTTTGGGGAGAAGATCGGCCTGTATTTTGCATGGCTCGGTGTTTACACTCAGCTGCTCATACCGGCCTCCATAGTGGGAATCATTGTGTTTGGATACGGGGTGGCGACCGTGGACACCAATATACCCAGGTACCTGCTGCAGAACGCTGCAGCTGAAATCTCTAGTCGTGCTCTTGCACATTTATGGAAATAAGAGGGGCTTACTGTAAAATACTAGAAAGCTGAAAATGAGGATTTCTCTCCTACCTTGTTTCACTCTGCTCATATTCACAATCCACACTCACACATCCACTAGACAGGGATTGCCCAGATACCTGCTGTATCTGGCTTTAGTCACGGCTGTGTGGGAGGTACACAGAAAGCACGGCTGGCGGTGTGTGCGTGAGTGTCATGGATTCAGCCCACACTGACTATGAATAGGGTCAAGGTACAAAAGCTTCTGTGGTCGTTAGGAGTTAAAAGTTCCATTCATTTCTTGTAAACGCATGTTAGAGACATGAACATCTCCGAGTCTTCTTTGCAGGGATTGAAATCACACTTTCACATATTAACGTTCACATCTAGCTCCCCTTGCTGAAGTTAACTTCCCTCCCTCTCCCGTTGACAGTTTGGAGATGTGTGATGAGCGTCTCAATTTCACCATGTGTCCTCTGTGCGACGGCGCCTGTGACTACTGGCACCTCAGCACCGCCTGCGGCACCGCCCGGGCTTCGCACCTCTTTGATAACCCCGCCACCGTCTTCTTCGCCATCTTTATGTCTCTGTGGGGTAAGGTTTCGGGTTTACCTGAGTGTGCCTGTGTTTGAGTGAGAGGGAGAGAAAAACAGGGGTGAATGTGAAGGTGCTCATTAATATCTTATAGGTTTGTCTCACCTCAAGAGGGCAGACACTTCGGACAACAAATCCGCACACGCCGGAAGGTTTCAGGATTGTAATGGAACTCAAAATTTACAATTTATTTGCAGTTCAAATTTGTAAAGAAATACACTTTCCAAAAATCTGAGGTTTACATACTACAGTATATGATTGTGTCATTTCCTCTATGAAATGAGTCTTGTACTTACATGGGCTGAAAAGACGCTCAGGGGGTAAGAAGCCATTTCTCCAAAAGCAAATCACCAGTTTGTAAATAAACTCTGTGAGTTAGATCATCATTTTTCACAGAGATTTGGATCTAATGGAACTAGAACGAAAGGTTATACACAAAATTGAGTGTACTAAAAAAAATACTGTTACATATAAATTTTTTATTTTTTTATTTTAGGCTTTAATGACCTTTATTTAGTTATTTTTAAAAGTATGTTGACAGGAAAGTGTGTTACAAGAGAGGGGAGAGATATTCGGCAAAGGTCAGTAAGACCGGGGCTCAAACCTGAGAGGTAAATAGGTCATGGGCTCTACATCCACACCATAGCAGGACCCCTAGATATAAATTCGCAATAAATACTGCAAAAAATAAATAGGTTTCTTAATTTAATAATACAAGACATGTATTTACAAAGAAATATTTAGCTTATTTATTTCATTTTATTTATTAACTGATATCACAATGTATATTTTTAATATATTAATTTCAGTATATATGTATTTATTAATATTTAGATGTATTTTTATTTTTATGTATTTCGCAATATATTATATCAAAATGAGTTTAAAAAAAAAATTATAATTTTAAAATATTATTTCTTTTCTCTGTGGGAAAAACTTTGGGAGAAACAGAATTTTAACAAGGTTTTAGTTAGCGCCTGCTAACTTACCTGCCAATTAGTATTAGCTAACATGCTACATAAGGGTAAGATATACATTTTTATATTTTGAAGCAGTAAGACTAAGATTGAGGCTATGGAGTGAGTTTTGTTCCATTATTGGTGAAAGCAGAGAACACATTTTGTAAATGGAAATAAAAGAAATGAAACTTTGAATAAATTCATATAAAAAATTGTTTTAGGAGGAACTTTTGTAGTTATGTTTTTTCAGTAATAATGTTTTTTTCACCTTTTTTTTCTTTTTACTTTATTTTTCTTAAAAGCTTTAGTTTTTTCATTTCTCTTTTTAGTCTGATTTGTAATTGCTTTATTTTCCAATTTTGTTTCTCAAATCATATTTTCTTCCCTTCAACACTTGCTCTTGACCAATCAAAATGTTGTTGCTAATGTCCATGCACACCAATATAAATGCGTCTTTATTCCTCTTTCCAGAGGACTACTCGCCCCCAGAAGTATAGAAAATGTGATCCGGAAAACCCTATTTATGCAATTTGTAAAACTAAATCTGACAAAAAGATATTCTAAATATTTGAAAATGTAAAACCTTAAAAAGAATGAAAAAGAAAACAAAATCTGGGTAAACAGAGAACTTACTCTCAAACCTTTTTTTTGTTAAGAAGTTATATTTTATTTCTGAACGCATTTTTTTCTTCAAATTTTCATTATGAATACATGTTCTTTGCTTGCAACAATGATGGAACAAAGTTCACTCCATATATTTATGTACTAAACACACTACTCTCAGCTTGTTGCTTGACTTGTGATGCTGCGGGCCTGTTCCAAGGTTCAAGCCATGTTATAGTGGCTTTAATTCATGGCATCAGCTGTTTTAAGAATTTTAAGTTACATAAAAAATGAAATTCTTCATATCTGATGTTGAGGCGGTACTGAGCTGTAATAGAAGATTGTGATGAAGCTACAGTCCGATAAAACATTTATTTATCGTCCAATGATGTGTTTATATTTGTTTTAGCTGGTGAACTGTCATGTAAAGGTTTTGGTTTTACTTTTAACCGCATAGACTCGTGTAAGGCTCCTAATATGGCAGATTAAACTAATTTAATTTCCAAGATTGTTTTCATTAAACAATCAAAAACTAGTTTGAAAATTATATAAAAGTAGAACTGTTATAAGATATTTTTTTAATAAAAAAATAATAAAATAAGAATTAAAATACTCTTTTTAAAGTTTTTCATGATACTTGGAGATATGCTTGTATCCTTTCCTTTCAAAAACAAACTTGCCAAATCTAAATCTGCCATCATTTTAGGCTTATCCATATGAATGATGAGACTTTTTCTTTTAAAATGACAATCTCTAACATTGTTTTTAATCAGCAGAATATTTTTTTTCTGTACAGTGAGCAGTTTGGTTCGATCTCATGAATGTAGCTAAGTTCCTCTGTTTGTCTGATTTTGTAGCGGTGTTATTCCTGGAGCACTGGAAGCGTCGACAGATCAGCCTGAGTTTCAGCTGGGATCTGACGGGGATTGAGGAGGACGAGGTAAAAATAATTAAAGTTACATAAAGCCAACTAACTCATCAGCTATAGATATTCATACATAGAGTCGTGAAATGACCGGTCAGCTCATTAAAGGTATGGAGTGAAATTTGTAACACAATTGTTGCAAACAACGCAAATTTATTGTAAATGGAAATTAAATCATGATATGCTTTGAAATTAATTGATACTACTCCGCGTATCATTTCTTTGATTGTTTTTCACTTTGAAAGTAATATATGAAATTACAAATTTTTTTTTTTTGTCTCGTAATCCTTTCTTTTTTAGATTTTTCAGTTGCCTTACTAAAGAGTTCCATAAATTTTTGCTTTATTTTAGGGTCTTATATGATCTCATGTATTCTTCAACTCATGCTTGTTATCCATTTCCTTTATATTCAAAGTAGTAAGGAAAATTTGAATTCTATCTATATTATTTTAAAATATGAAATAAAAAAAAGGACTTTTCTCGTATTTTCATTGTTGGTTTGAAATAGAAAACTGAATGATATGCAGATTATTGCTATTTTCTTTTTTTTTTATTAATTTTTTTGTTTTTAAGTGTATTTGTTATGTCTTTTTCTGTTTGAGTTTTGTGTATTGCATTGTTTTCACATAAACTCAATCTGAAAAAGAGAGATTAAATAAAAATAAATTTTAATTCTGTAAAATAAAAAGCAACAAAAAAATACAGTTTGAAAAAATAGAATAAAAATCTGAAAAAATGATTACTATTTTTTTTAATTATGATGTTTTTCAAAGTTTCATGTCTGGATTCTTCTCTAATCTCCACTTGCAAAAGCTGTTCTTTGCAACAACAATGGAGCAAAATTCACTCCACAATGTTCTAAAGTGTAAGATGCAATTAAACCAGAGTGGTTTGCTCTGATGACATTTATCTACAGTACAGGGGGTCACAATTCTAGCTACTGAATCTTCTGCACTGCTGTATCATGTGGATCTCATTTCATAACTGTACACATGCAGCAGCTAAATCCTGCACAGCAACACTGACTCCTCCTCTGTCATCAGGAGCACCCCAGGCCAAGGTATGAGACCATCCTCCTGCAGAAACAGCAGCGGAAGCAGAAAAAGAAGAAGAAGAAGAAGAAAAAGAATGAGGTATGGATGTCCTTATAAGGTTTTCTTTCTTTTCAGTGCATATGGGCTTTAAAACATGATGCGTTTGGAATGCATCCGAGCCACACAAACCAGTGCTTAATAGTCGGCAAATGAATTATTCTGCATTTTGTGCAATCAACCTTTTAACAACAAACAAAACAAATGATTGCTTATAGAAAAACAACAATAAAAACCATGTTTTACTTAAATCTCAATCAATACCTTTTAAAATCACTCTTGCCTGTAGTAAAAACAGGAAGTTCTTCAGCTCTGGACTTTAACTATAGGCCAGTTTTTTACAGAGGTATATATGTATTAACTGGTGGTGGGCCGTTATCTGCATTAACGTGCTGCACTGACGCCAGAACCTTATTGTTAAAAAAAAATACTGCAGTTAATTAGTGATGTTATCAGATGAGCCAAGGCTTTGAGGCGTGGGTCGAGTACTGGAAGGGGCGTTTCCGCAAGGTGCTTATTGAGGCTTGCTTTATTTGGAGGAGGAGCCACAATAGATGACGTCTGAAGCCTCGCTACCATTTTATACCAAGTGAGCGCTTCGGGAAGTGGTTCAGCTCGCCCGGAACTTCGGCAGGCATTTAAAGCATCAGCATTCAGTCAAGATGTGGGAGTTTGTAGGAAAGCTGCTGTCAATTGGAAAGAGTTTGGATAGATTCTAAGAATAGATTGGTTGGAAAAACAACCAATCTAGTTGGTTAAACTAGTTTGATTAGATTAAACAATGTAATGATCAAAATTGATGGTTCAAGAACCACATCAGACTTTTAAAAGTTGTGATAATGCTTTTTTTTTTAGCTAATGTGACTTATTTGTAGTGGTTTGTCCTAGTACAAATATAGATTGGGTAAAAACACTGCCAAAGTTTCATTGGTTGGTTTGACGAAAAGATTGGTTGAACACATAATTTCCAACCCGATTAAAACCCAAAACTCTGGAAAAACTATTATATTTGAATAAAAAAACTCAAACCTTTCATTTTGTTCATCGATGCCCATTTGCACAAATGCTTTTACTGTCTGTTTGAGCTTATTTCACTAAAATGGCAGAAAAACAGTGATTTTCCGTTCTAAGACATGTTACACATTAACAATACAAAAGATTTTATTATACAGACCAATCATTAACAATTTCAAAGGAACCTATATGGGAAGAAAACAAGAAAAACAATTGCAAAAAATCAGACTATATTATTAACTGTAGTTCTGCTTTCCACCAGTAGGTGGTGACATGTTCACATGAAGCTTTATGAACTGTGGGGATCGTTGAAGCAATTAGTCAAACTGGTGAAATGCCTCTATCTATTCTATCATCTATTCTCAAAGTCAGATTGGGAGTTGAGTTTATATACTAATAATGATTTTCTCTTTGATATTGCAGCCTGTTTGCCAGCAAGTTACTCACGATGTAATCAAGCTCCAGCAGCAATCCTATTTATTTATGCAACACTTAATCTAGGGTACGATTGTTCCCTTATAAGCAACTAGTTAAACGTTCCTCCAATGGTGCCAATGTTAACACTTACAGCTGCAACCTCCAGAACATAATGTTAGCTTAGCATGAACAGACTACAGACATTAACAACCCTGTTTAACACAAAACTAGGATAAAATGGTGATGTTTTCCCCATCTTGATATTACCCAGCAGCCCTTGCTGCTACTCCAGCCTCACAGGGCATTACAATGACTGCCTGAGTGACTGGTGGAAAAAGGAGAAATAGAGCTTGGACTGACTGACACAAAGCTACTGACTGTAAACGTTTCATCTTTGCCTATTACGTAGGCCTACAGTATTCTTGTTTATCTGAATAAACACTTATTAGACACAAATATATCTATTGAATATGATTTATTTTCATCACCAGTTATCAAAGCTTTGTCAAGAAGTTTGGAAACATGACATAAGCCCCTTGCCTATATCTTACTTGTATTTACAATCTTATTTTTCTCTCTTCTGTAAATATTTGCACTGCAAATAAACAATTTCCTGCAAGGGATTATTTAAGCAATTCTGACTCAGATTCATGATGCCTTTGGCAACATTCAAATGAGCCATTTAAATCTAGATTAATCTAAATTAATTCCAAGATTACAGTGAGATTAATCTAGATTAAACAAATGAATCCATGCCCACCAATAGTTTTAACACTAGGATTTCCATAATTCTGATACTACTAGAAATCCCACTGACAGCCAATTTTACAGGTGACATTTTTCCCAATGGAATGCAAGAGTAGTGATGATGTCATTGACTAGTGTGTCATATAAACCCATTGTGGATATATGGACCTCAAAGGCGGCATTATATGATATTGTTTTTTATAGAACAAATTTGTATTAAAAATACATCACTAAAATGAATAAGACTTGTTTACTACGCAGGTTCAAAGTTTTAAATTATAATTGTATTTACAGAAATTGATAGATTCCTCCCACACATTTCCTGCACATCACCTTTTCGTATGTATCAGAAACATCATAAAGGCATTTTTTTGAGCAGAGCTGACACACCTGGCACTGTTTTCTTTCCCGCGCCAAAGTTTGCTCTACTTCTGCAGAATGATTGGTACTTGTGGCTCTCTGGAGCGCATGTGTCATCAGTATTTTAGAAGCGTTTTTTCAGCCTGTTTCGCTGTTAGATTTCTCCGTATTAGCCTAAGAGTTCCAGAGATATCTTGATAGAATGTTGGTTGCTTGGCAACCATACCGAACATCAATCATCTGCGGGACGAATTTAGAATGCTACGAATAGAGCCGTCACAATGAAGGCTGTGGGAGATTGAGGTAAAATTAACCATATTTATTTTTTTGTTTTTTATTTGATTTTTAAAAAATAAAGTGAAAAGGAAGGAAATATAGAAAAAGAAAAAAGCACTTAATATGACCAACATAAGATTAATGTAAATAAAGCTCTTTCACTTCAAAATCTCAGAACCGTCAAACTGACAGCCTTTGGAGTCGACTTTATTATGACAATAAAGTCATAAAATTGAGAGAATAAAGCTGGAGAAATTATGAGAATAAAGTTGTAATATTACGAGAATAAAGTTGTAATATTACGAGAAAAAAGTCAAAACGAGAATAGTCATAAAATCAGTTAAATAAAGTCGTAACATTACAAGAATAAAGTCGTAAAATTACGAGAATAAAGTTGTAATATTAGGAGAATAAAGTCGTAAAATTATGAGAACAAAGTCATAAAATTACAAGAATAAAGTCGTAATATAACGGAATAAAGTCCTAAAATTACGAGTTATATTTTATGACAACTCTCACAAGAAGCACTTACTTCACTAAAACTTTTTTTCTCGTATTGTTACGACTTTATTCTCAAAAAAAAAAAAAAAAAAAAAAAAAGAAAAAATCTCCAACCTGGCCATAATACTTCGTTGTACTAAAGACTATTCAGGACAGACGCTCGGTGAAAACAATGCTATTATGATTCATCTGGATAAATAATGACTATCCACCATTGAACACGATAACTAACTAAGCTAAAAGTAGTTGCTACGAGGAAATGTTTCTTTGTCTTCACATGTAACTTGATTAGTTGATAAACTACCAAAGTTGTCTGTTATCAGATCCCAAAGCGCTAAGGTAGACTGGTTCATTCAGTGCAGTGCTATCAGTGGCCTTTAGGGGGCGCTTAACCTGGATGGTAGAGGTCCAGCGCCTCCTGGTGGCTAAAAAGTACATAATATATGGTTGTAGTTGTAACCTGGTAAATTCTGAAAAGGTGTAATGATTTTCAATACCTTTGAAAAGCACTGAAAGTGTTACATTTTCACTTTGCTCAACATGAGCTCCAACTGAGGATTCGGATCCTTCCTGAATATCCAGATGGTCTCCAGTTTGTTTTGCCAATATTAGCATGATACTCTAATGACAGGTTTAGTAGTATAATCACGGCATCAGTTATGCTGGGCCCTGTGGTTTGACTCACACTCACAGCAGCGACAGATGGCTGGCAGCAACCATCACAGTGAGTCTGAGAAAGAAATAAAACACAGCAGCATAAACCCAGAAGGGCCTAGACTTTATCTTGTTTTGGTTTAATACCTGCTTCTTTTACAATATGGTAAAGTATTTGTCATCTATTGGCTCTCAGCTAGACCTGTATTGGGTGAAGTTTGTTGCAAAAAACATAAAAAAAAAATAAAAAATACAATCCAGAAAAAAAACTTTGAAAAATGTTTCAACACAAAAAAGGTTTTTATAAGTAACTTTGTTTTCTTAATTTATTGATTTTTTTTTCATATTTTAAATTTTCAAATTTTGTCTTTGAAAAAATATTTTACAGATGATATATTTTATTTTTTCAGATTTTAAATATATTTATTTTTTTTATTTCTCATTTTTTATTACAGTTTTATTTATTTTATTCTTTTCAAATTGCGTTTTACAGATCTCTTCCACTTGGGGGCTGGCTTTCCTCTGGAACTAAGATTGAAGACGCATTTCCATTGGTCCTAATGGATGTTAGCAACTTTTAGCATTTTTATTTTAGCATGAATATAAAGAGCAAATATTGGCTTCAAGTGAACAGAATGTGATCCGCAAAAAGAAGTTTGTAAAACTCTATCTGAAAAAACAGAACATAAAAAAAAATAAATAAATAAACCCAAAGGAAAAAAGCTGAAAAATTAAATTAACATTTAATAAAAAGAAAAAATTCTAAAAAAAACTGATTTTATTTACAATTTACTTCCAATACCTGTTTTGATCATGAAATTTTTCCAAGTTTCATTTTTTTTTCAAGTTTTCGAATTACAAAATGTGTTTTTTATTTTTTTATAGATTTAAAAAACATGTTCTTGCATGGCGACTAACACACACTAACAAAATTCACTCCATACACAAAGCGCCATATTCATCCTCCAAACCATGCCCAGTGAGCAGGATGGTTAGTGGATGCTTTATATCTAAGCAGTCCTCCTATTGGTTGCTTTGAAGTGGTGTTTACAGTGTATTTGCATGTTGTGTTTGTTTGTGACACGTCCCTCTGTCTCGTAGCCAGAAAAGCAGGAGGACGGGACAGTGACAGGGAAGGACAGATGGAGACAAAAACTGCTGTCTGCCATGGCTGCAGGAGTACCGGTACCGGTAACCCCCTCCTCTCCTCAGCATGCTGTCCTTCTTTTCCCTCTTCTCCACTTCTCCCCTTTCTGCTCCCTCTTACTTTTCTTCTTCTTTTTTTCGCCTCTGTGGTCCTCTCTCCTTTTCCCCTTTCACTCCTTCTCCTTTCCAGCAGGCTGCTGTCTATCTGTTCTTCTCTTCCTGTCCCATCCTCTGGCTGCAGAAGTTTCATCTTCTCAGGTATCTGTTTCTTTGTGTTCTTCTTTTTGGCTGACTCTTCAGCTGCAAGGCCAGATGTTTTACTCAAATTAAGTTCTTATGTTTTGTCAGGCTCCGAACAAAAGGACCCAGTAGTCGAGGCGGAAAGAGAGATAGATTTAATAAAACAGCGTCGGCGTCTAAGGCAGAAACCTCTGCAGAAGGAGACAACAGGTTAGAGACCTGGTCTTATAGTTCAGTCCGAGCCCAGAAGATCAGGCTGGGTAGGCTACCAACAAAACGCTGCCAACGCTGATGTCTTGGAGATTGGAGGACAGGCAGGAGACCAGATCCAAGCAGACAAAGGAAGGCAGGATAATCAAGGGGGCAAAGCCAAAGCTGGTATCAAGGACATGTTCAGTAGTCCGGGCCAGGATATCAGAGATCCGAAGAAGTACCGATGGGAAATTCAGGACAGTGTCAGGAAAAAGTTCCAGGTTCGGTAAACAGGCAGAATCCAGTAGGAGTCTGAAGACAGGTCAGGCAAACAGATCAGAACGGGAACAGGAAGGCTCAGCGGCAGAACAGGTCAGAATCAGGCAATCAGAAAACACAGGAACGCTAGAGAACTCTCACCAAAGGTTTGAATAATCTGGTACTGATGACTGGTTGAAGGCTGGTTAAGTAGACACTGAAGCAGGTGGATCAGATAAATGGTAATGACAATTTGTTAAAAAGACCTAAATTGTGTTTTTATCTCCCCAAAAATAGTAAGAGTACTTAACTATAATGTGTTAAAGGTTAATAATGTGTTTTCCGAGAAAATAAATGCCTTAAAATCCTGTTTTATCACTCTCTGCCCGATCTGTACAGGAAATGGGATCCTACGCTACTTCCAGGAGTTAACTTTTTTGGCTTTGGATTTAAACATAAATCTAGTCTTTTTGAGCTTCATGTTTCCTTTTTGTGTTTTCATTATGGCATATAGTGCGGAAACTAAAGAAACAAACAACTAAAATAAAGATAAACATGGTTTAATCATATTTTGCCGGACTGCTCTGGCCATGTCCGATGATGACGTCACAAAAGCAATTTAATAAACAGAGAAAATTAGAAAAAGCATCAAAAATTTTTAAAGGTGTGTATTAGCATTCTACTAATACACACCTGTACATATAATTCATGTAATTATTAGCATTAATTTCCTGTGTTATAGAAACCCGGATGTTTATCTGGTTGCACATATGAGCCGATGGTACGGATCATGCTTCCGGGACGGATCGGCTAGTGACAGCTTGAGCAGCATGGTTTATCATTTCGCCGAGCAAAGTGGAAGCACAGTACACCTCTTTGCGAGCTTGCGTGTTCGCAGTGTTCAAAGTTTAACTTTGACAACAGCACTTTATTGCTTACAAAATACACCGTTGCTAGTGGTACAGGAGAAGAACAATGCCACAGTAGCATAAGAACAAAAAGCAGCAATTCATAATGGGCTTTAAAGATCTGACCCACATGCAGAGAATCACTCAGAGACCAAGAGTAAAAGTTTAACAGGTTTATTGTAGGTTAGCAAACACTGATGGAGACTGAAACTCAGTGGGGAAACAATGCTGGAACTCAACGGACTGCTGAACCGGAACCGGAAACTCTGAAGGGGAGATCACAGTGATCAATTCAGGGACAGTGGGAGAATAGACTGAGGCTTGAATAATGCTGGAGAGGCACTCACTTTTGGGGGGCTCTTGGTTTATCCTTAGATCCAGTTTGTGGAGATTTAATCCAGAGAAGAGGGAACCCATTAGAGAGCGGACAGGCAGACATACGTTGGATCCAGAGGAGTAAAGGAGCGGGCTGTCACTTGGTTTTCCAGGAGTGGACTTGAACGGATCATGTGGAGGTTTTCCCCTTGCTCAGTGAGACTCAGTAAATCCTTCCAGGGGTAGAAGGTCCAGGCTTATCCAGTAACACAGGAAGTCTTCCTGCCGAAGGTCAAAGACAAAAAAAACAAGTTCAGACTCAGGGAAACAATGCTAAGGTTAGACTCTGCTAATCTCAGTTTGGCTAGAGTACCCAATACTGGCAAACACTCTGGCATCGAGGTGGTGACAGCCCACTGCTCAAATACTCCTCTGGTAATGACCCAACGAGCCGCAGGTGTGTAGGGAGGCCCAACGAGGACAGGGCACCGGCTGTTGGTGGAGAGAGGAAAACACAAAAAACCACCCACACAAACTGGAATCCTAACACAGTAAGGAAGAAGAGACTGTTGGTGCAAGAAAAACCCTGGCTCCACAGTGAAGCTTAAGGAGTTCTGGCTTGTAAAAAAGCTTCATTTTTTCCACAGCTATCACAGTCGCAAATCTGGGTCATATACTTTGTGGAATTACGACACACGAAGGTTCATGATCATTTTAGTTTCCACACCTGCCAGCGCTGCTTCCACGTGAACAGAATTTGCATACCGTGGAAAGTTCGTAACTACTCGGACAGGAACATGCAGAAAAAACATGGTGGATGAGTGACAGCTCCTACTGTTGAGAGTTTGCTAATATAAACATTCGAGAGACCATGATGATTATGATTTAGCCCATAAATATCACTGTGAATAACAGATTGTGAAAATCTCTTGGACAGAAATTACAGTCACTCTTGAATTTCACCAATAGGCTTTAAAAAAGTTGTAAACGACGGTGTTTTCTAATTCCTCCTGTAGCATGGTGTTGTAAGCACGCTGCCCTGGTGCTGGCAAGAATGTTAGGCACTAGTGGGAAAAGTCTATAATTGTAGATGCTGTGTCTGCATCTCATAAAATGTAATTGAGAAACACATAAACGTTAACATTATATTTCAGCTTTCTACACAACAGCTCGAAACATGTCTGCATGGGTACCATATGGCATTGTCAGAATTAGATTCCTATTAGCTTGCTTCACAAAACAATAAATGAAATGATCAAAAATCACAAAAAAAAGAGGAAAAACATTTTCCTGAAAACCCTTTTCCTAACAATGGGCTTTGGCACAATTAAGAGGTAATTTTAATGTTTTTTACGAGGGTAGCTTCTTGTGCTATAGTGAGGGCGGAAACCAGGGTAACATGATTGTTCACATAGATCATTACAGTAATACAGCAAATAGCAGTTAAAAGTTTTCCAACATGCTTTTAAGTATTTTATTTTTTATTTTTTTTATTAAACCTATTACTTTAGGAGTAGGGCAGTATTTCTAATTATAGCATTCCAATCAACATTATTTTGTGGAAAGAAATTAGAAAAGCAAGGCTGTTTAAAAAAAAATAAAACAGCAATATAAAAGACAAAGAGAGACACAAAGCGAAAGAAAGTGAGAGGCTGGGAGAAGTAGGAAGGTAGGAAGAAAAACAGAGGGAGAGCGCCTGAGTGGGAGTGATGCATGCTGGGCAGGAAGCCAGGGGTAAGATTAGTGACCGTCACTATGGCGACACACAACTATACCTCTCATGCACACTTAGCAGCCTTTGGCTTTATTACCTGAGACACAAAAAAAGGTGCTGTGGGTTCCAACTAAATTAGCTTTCAAAATTCAAAGAAAACTGCAGCCGTTACTGGAAGACTTTGGATAATCAGTGAAGAATATTCTCATTACTCTGTACAAATATAACAAATTGTTATATTCAGTGTCCTATACTGGGAACTATGTATCATTTGTACTGAGTGATGCAGCAAGAGCATGAAATGGAGCAGTTTTCTTTTGTTTCCCTCTCTGCTCAGTAAAATATTCACTTCACATATGATTTTAGCTCTAATTCTATACTTTTAATTTAAACCCATCTGGGTTATAAACAGTACTTGAGCTGATGGATAGTATCCATCTTCTTAAATGGTCATCACACATACCATCCTCTGTGATATTTTGTTAATGAATGTGTAAAATTTCTACTATATATTAACAATATTGGCAAAAATATTTTATTTAATATTTCCAGTTCAACATTTGGTGGGCTGTGAACTTAGAAGTAGCCTGATCTAAATAAATAAAATCAAATAAGTGACCTACCATGACTATGAAGCTGATCCCAGTGGAAAAATTAGTCCCTAACTCTGTAGGGGCAGTGACAGCCATGCCGCTCCAGGACTGACTGCAGTTCTACTGTAAGGAGCCTTGGTCAAAGTCAATGACCAGCGTACCTTAACATACCATGCATAGTGCTTTAGGTTAGTAGACTATATTAAATAGGCTATGTATGCTTCCAAACAAAAAAAAAAATCCACCATTACCCTTCTTTCCTTTTTTTTAAAAACTACACTACTGGTTATAAAACAATACAGCAGGTTTTTGGAACAAGCTTTAACAATCATCCTAAAATATCAAAGGGTAAGGTGCAGCTGCAGGCGTACCAAGGCGCTGTTTTCACCTAAACTAACAAGCTGAGTGAAGAAAGACATAATCAGAGACGAAGCCAAGAAGAGCTGTGCAGATTCCAAGCTCATGTAGATGATTTAGTTAATAGGAGAACTGTTAGCTAGGCTCTTATACAGCTAATTCTGTTGCAAGCTTCCATCTGCATGGACGTTAGCAACATTTTTATCAGTTAATTTATTTATTATTACTTGTCAGTGTATTTAATCAGTTTTTTAGTTTCCTTTTTCTTTGCACTGGTGGTGGATGAAGGGATTGCATGTTTGCACTGTTTTTTAATGAAACTCTTTAATCTGGACTCATTTTGGAGGTTAATGCATCTTCTACCTGTTACAGGCGGGGCTGTTCAGAAAACACCTGGCGCTAAGGAGCTGGAGGCATAGGTCTAATAGCTTATGAATCAGAAGTGGAAGGAAATCATCAAACCGACAAAATCGTCTCGTTACCTAAAAGTTAAACACAGGATTATTTGGAGAATTACAGAATGACTTATACTGTAGTTAGAACTCCTCTCCGTTTGTTGTGCTATTGAAGGATGTATTTAGTTTTAACACACACCAATCATCTCGTTATGACGAGAAAACGGCTTTCGTTATCTTTAGCTAATGACAACTTGTTTTCTCAAGAAAACTAGCGTGAAAAAGTATCGAAGGAACACGACCGCTCTCGGCTTTTTAACAAAAAAATGAAAAACATAAACAGCTCGTTATTTATTTATCTTTAATTGGGTTAGAAAATTAAAAAATCCCCCCCTAAATTGTCTGCATTTTTCGTATTTTATTGTGTAAATGAAAAGACATGCTTGATATTTTTCTATACCTTCTCACAGGACCTGAAATTTTGGTCTGAGCGCCCAGAGCCTTAAGTTTCCTATCAGCACCAATATTGGGAACAGTTCATTGTTTAAATTGTTATTAAGATGATTTAACTTGGTTAGAAATCCATATCAAACCAGAACAAAATCAGGGCCTTTTATGATTTCCAGCTGTCGTCACCACGGCAACGATTCAGCATTTCCTGTCTTCTTTTTGGTATGTAGACTTCAGAGTAAAAGCTTAATGGAGGGCTGTCAACATTATTGCAACTTGAGTCTTTGTAAGACCCTGAGAGAACAGTGTTGTGTGTCTCCATGACGACACTTACTTCACAGTGGGGTTTTTACTCTCTGAAAAGGTTCTGTAATTAATTCAGCATAGTGTTTGAATGCAGCCATTAACAGAGTCTGAGGAATTTCTCTTGTCTTAACAGCTGAAATAAAAAAAAAGTGATGGTCTGCACAAAACTGATCAGTTTTGCCTCCTGTAGCAGCTAAAATGGACACTCCTAGCTATTTTTGCTATTACAGTATAACCCTTAAAACATTTTTTTTGTCTCATTTAACCATTTTTTCCCAAACCTTTTTGCACCTTTTTTCTTTACTTAAAAACAAAAACCTCTACTAAAGTGAGTATTTTTGACAAATTTTAACCTGCAACAACAACAGCTCTTTGCAACAAATTAATAACAACCATTATTTGATTATATTATTTGATATAATGATTATTTAGACTTTAGACAGATTTTATTTGTCATTTTGTAAAACAAAAAGAAATTTCGTTTGGAAACAGCTCACTGGACAATTTCACCTTTTTAAAAGTGCAGCCTTTTTTTTAATTAAATTTTTAATCAAATATAAATAATACATTTAGGTTTTAAAAATGGAAAAACAGAAAACACAACAATGTATTTTCTTTTTGCAAACTCAAATTGAAACAGAAAACAAACAAAGAAGAAGCGTGATTCTCTTCCCACCCTTTTTTTTGCAAACTTTGTTTCTAAAGGTATAGTGAAGGATTTTTGCACATTTTTGAAAAATTGCAAAAATTATTTAAAAAATACACATGCACAGCCCATATAAAAAAAAATGCACATGCACAACCCTGTACCCACTACTGAAAGGGAACTCCTATTAAACGTGTGTGAGAGCGTGCACGAGCCTATTTCTCCTCGTGCACGCTCTGTTTAAAAGTTGCTGTTTGCATCGCTAATACAAGCTTACTTTCCAAAAGAAGATTTGCAATTTTTTCACTATGTCAGACACCATTGGTATGTGGAAATGGCGGCATGTTTATGGAAGGACAGCCTTACATAAACATACCCCCAGAATGATTGACAGTTAGGAGGACCACTTTTTTAGATGATCCTACTGGAAAAAGAACATCCTCCACTATACTTTTAAGTAAAAATAGCAATTTTACACATACTAATATAACCCTAAAGGGACACGTACAGTGTGTTTCATCAATATAAGATTCTATAAAAACTGATGTTAACTAAAGAAGACTGAATGTAGAAAATAAATCGAAGAAATTTTTTCAGGGTGTTCAATGCTTTTGCACACATCGCTGCAGGTTGTTACTTTATCAAATGTTTTTCAGTTACACATTCGGTTCACTTTTAAGAGCAGTTTTATTTATTTTTTTTATCTCTGATGTCTGAATGGAAGATAAAGACATTTATGCACAGTTTATCCATTTTTTACTTAATTTCCTGCAGCAGATCAGTTATCGTTTTCTTTGATGCCATTGAAACTATAAATATTTCTGTAGTGTAGAGCATGAAATAAAGCCCTTAATTAGCTGCTCCAATGATAAACTAAATGTTCATTTTGATGTCATGTGTGGTTTGAAAGGAAGAGTAAGAGAAGGTTGGACAAAAGAGAGGGGAAATTATCACCGGGTCTCTGTCACAGGAGCTTTGTCAGGCTTTCCCTCAGTGGACTCGACAAGCCAAATATAACACCTGACCTAATTTAATACCTCCCCCGCTGATGGCTGTCCCCACCACACACTCATTCACATTCACACTAGAACTCCATGCAAACCCACCTTGCTTTACTACTGTATGATGTGACTTAAAGTGAAACAAAAATCTAAAAGTTCAAATCTAAGCTGAATTTTCTACCTTTCTGTGCAATTTTAGTTTATTTATCTATTTCAAACGAACCTCTAAAACTATAGCAGTTTAAAAATATACATTTCTTTATCCCTTTTGTCAGTTCTCATATAAATAGATAATAATGTTTGAATTTTTTCTGAGTATCCAATTTTATCTGATTGCTTGTTGTAATGTGCCTTTATGATCACTAGATGGTGCTGTTGCATTGCGAGTTATCAGCACCTCCCTTGCTGTTCCTGCCTTTTTTAATCACAAATTTTCTGAAATCTCTGCTGATTTGAATCAGAGCACATGAGTTGACTTTAGTTTCATAAAAAAATATATTTTTTAGAGAATATTTTTCATAAATTAGACCAATTTCCACCCAAATATGAGTAAATAAGGCAAATCTTATTTAGTGTTGAAGAATGTGCAGTTTTGGAGACTGCCTTTCACTTACATGTCACTGACACAGTTATACTATTATGCATGGCTCTAGTTAGGAGATTATCTATGGAATGTAGTTCCGTCATCAAAAAAGGAACAAATAAATTAGGGATCCAAGTGTTGGCTTGAGCCACAGTGACTTACAAAAGTATTCCCACCCCTTGTTGACTTTCTGTCAGATTAAAACCACACATCTTAAGAGCAGATCTTATAAGGCTTTGCATGTAATAAAATGTGTGCAAACCTGTTAGCATGTGCTAAGTTCATCTTCATTCCGGGTGTAACATAAGAAGAGCAGCGGGTATTTTTTTGCATCTGTGCCTGCAGATTTATGGAGGGAGGAATACTTACCAGCCATAAAGCAAATTAATAAATGTGAAAAGGGTTAATTTTTCTGCTTTTCTTTAATGCTGATTTCTTTTAGGGACTTCTTACTTTTCGCCCGAAATCTAAATCTTCCAATTAAATTAAACAACAATGGCCACTGCTTTGTTGATTCAGAACTTTGTCTTATTGTTTTCTGTCTTCTGTTTTCCTTTTTTCCTCATTCAGACGGTCATTGAGAAGTTGACCTGGAAAGACCGCCTTCCTGGATACTTTATGAATATTTCCTCTATTCTTTTCATGGTAAGTAAAGACTTGTTCTTAGTTTCTACTGTCGTTTTTTTCTCAGCTTGTAAGGTAATGAACACATTTTTAGATGATGTCTTTAGAACCAATATGTACAAGTAATTTTTTAACATCTTCCCCATATCTTTCCCTTGGTGCTAGTTTGGACTGACGTTTTCAGCCGTTTTTGGTGTAATCGTCTACCGGATCACGGTCTCAGCCTTGATGGCAATGAGTCCGGACCCTGAAACAAAGTCCAACGTTCGGGTTACGGTTACGGCTACCGCCGTCATCATCAACCTCGTGGTCATCCTGATCCTGGATGAAATCTATGGCGCTGTGGCACTGTGGCTAACTGAGCTAGGTACGGAAATGCCAGCTGGATGTTTTGTCTTGTGGTTCCAAAGAACCTAAAACCTAAATACACAAAAAAAGAAATACACAAAAATTACTGTTTTACCGATACCAGTATTGGCCGATCCAGCACTGAAATGGTGGTATCGGTATCGCTAAGTACCAACAAATAGGGCACCGATAACATTTTGAGAACCAAACGTTTATTCAACTATTGTCAACCATTCCAGGTAGGCAATAAAAAGTTCTACTGGATTAACTTTGTATTAGTCTTTTTCCTACTTCACAAAGGTAGGCGGCAGCTTGACAAAGCCATGATGGTAATTATTTTACATCCAAGTAGTATGCAGTTCTTCATATACACACACACATCAATTTGAAACAGATGGTATCAGTATCGGCCAATGCTGTACAGCCAGGTATCGGGCCACAAAATGGCATCGGCACAACACTACAAAAAATACATAATACAGTGTGAGGTATTATTCATGCTACTTTTATTGGTCCCTATCATCCTCTGTCCTCCTGTTACACCTCCTTCACCCAGAGAGGAGTTTTGCAGTCTGATGGCGTGTGGGACAAAAGAGTTTTTCAGTCAGATGGTCTGAAGAAGCAGCCTGTTGCTGAACGGGCTCTTGTCCTTGAGAACGGTGTGCAGAGGGTGACTGACGTCATTCGTAATGCTCAGTAGTTTGTCCATAGTCCTTCTTTCTGCCACCATCGAAACAGAGTCCAGTTTAATCCCGACTACTGAGTTTCCTGCAGATGTTGAATGATCGTAGCCTTCTCAGCAATTATCTCTCTGTGTAGATCTATATCAACTTATAATCCATTATGGGACATATAGTTAGGACTCAGAGAGAGTCAAGAAGTTGTCACTATGTCGTGTATTTGATCTGTCCAGCCACTAACCCAGTTGAGTCCAATCTGGTTTAACCTGTGCAGATCGGACTCACCTGGCCTAGTGGCTGGGCAGATCAAATACACGACATAGAGATGACTTGTTGACTCCAGATCCGCCATCTCTGTTAGCACTTATACAGAAATTGATCCGAAGGCAGGAAATTAACTGATTTTGCTCTTTTAGAGAGTCGTGATATGACAGATCAGCTGAGATAACTGGCCCAGATTAGGTATGAAGGCAAAATAAATATAAACACAAACAACTTATTTCAATTGTGGCTGTGATTAGATCTTTTTATTGACTACTGATTGCAGCATTTCTCCTAGTTAACTCACCTGCAGAGACTAATAACCTGAAACTACGACGGAGTATTAGGGCCACACATGAAGAGAAAAAATATTTTTGCCATGACGAGATTAAACTCGACATGTCGACTTTAAAGTCGACATGTCGACTTTAAACTCGCCATTTCGAGGATAAAGTTGAAATGTCTTGTTGAGTTTAATCTCGACGTGTCGACTTTAAACTCGCCCTGTCGACTTTAAACTCGCCATTTCGAGGATAAAGTTGATATATCGTGGCGACTTTAATCTCGACATTCCAAAGTTTGGAGAAAAGAGCAACCGCGCTCCACAGCTGCAGTCTGCGTTTTAAGAGTGAAGGTAGTCTTTGACGTGCTGCAACTGTATAACTGTATAATCATCACAGAAAGTACAATTTGACCAAATCATCTACACAAGGCATGTCTGATTCTGGATTCTGTGCATGTATCCTGTGCAGCGGTTGGCTCTCTTGAACTAATTTCAACTTTATTGTCGACACGTCGAGATTAAACTCAACATGACATTTCAACTTTATTCTCGAAATGTTGAGTTTAATGTCGACATGTCGACTTTTAAAGTCGACATGTCGAGTTTAATCTCGTCATGGCAAAAATATTTTTTCTCTTCATGTGTGGCCCTAATACTCCGTCGTGTGAAACACCATAGAGTGTAATTGGCTGCTAAACTTTTTTTTTATTAAGATAAAAGCAAGAGAGCGTGCATTGTGGATATAAAACTAGCAGAGTGGCCAGTACAACACAGGGACTGGTAAAAAAATATATTAACACACACACTTAAAACCTTGTTATAAACATTTGTCTTACATCATGTTTCTTCTCTTCTTGGAGAGTCTGATTAAACTTTGATGTTTTCATGCTCCAGCTGTCTCATCAGACATCCCCAGAGGTTTCTACAGCATTTGAATCTAGACTCCAGAGCCCTTAAAAATGAGGGAGAACTCAGAGAGAGGTTAAAACTAAAAGAAAATAGCACTACTTTAAACTAGTTCCAACTTGTGATGGGAAAGAGTACTGTATATGCCTCCTTTATTCAGTTATTTTTCACACAAATCATTTGAAATGAATCCTCTTTTGGGTTTGTTTCTCCAGCTGCAACCTTGACTGATACTGCTTCACATGTAGAATCAATTAATCACTTAAATGGAACCTTTCTGACAACACGAAGCAGGACAGAATTCTTCAATATTTAACTTATCATGTCCTGATCTAAAGGAGTTAAATAGCAAACCGACACAATTATTAGCATGTTTCTGTCTGGAAATGCTTAAAATGCAAATGTGATCTAAAAAAAAAGGAAATTTTCTTAAATTAGGTATATTTACCTTTAATATGAACAGGTAAATAAGATGATATGTCATCGGAAAAAACATTTTACTCTTAGAATAAGAATATTAGAAAATATGCACTTGAAATAAGACAATGCAATTGTTTTTTTTTTTTTTATTTCAAATGTAAATTGTCTTGTTCCATTGGCAGTGGAAGTGTCTCACTTACTTCCTCAATTTAAAAAAAGCACTTACTTTAGGACAAAAATACTTATTTAGATAACATTTTTCTTGCAATGTACAAAACTCTTTCCAATGCAGGGGTGGGGAATATGGGGTAATATAACTATCAATATAAATATATGTATATATATATATGTCCCAATTTGTGAATGAAAGTCAGTCATAAAATTTAGAGTTTTTATTTTTTCTTTGATGTGACACCAGATCTTCATCTGGGTTAATACAAGTTCAGAAGTTATGAATGCAAATGAGAAAGTTACAACTTTGCCACCATAAAAGTGTTTTTCACAAATTCACAAATTTACAGATACAAATCCAAAATCTACAAGTACAAATCCCTAATTCTTATTTGTTCATTTATGATTTGGAGTCATAGATTTGTTACTGTACTCATAAATATGTGATTAATATTTGTAAGTTTGTAATTTTATGCAAAAAAGTCAGATTCTTTTTTGTAAATTAGTTTTTTCTATTCATAAAACTGTGATCTGCACACATAGCTGGTAAATTGCACTCATCATTTCTGATTCCTATTCTTATATTTTTAATGCGTACTCATTGATTTGTGATTCATGTTCATAAATTTGTGATTAATACCCATAAATTAGTCATTGATGTTTGTAAAATTGTAATTCTTTTTCATAAATGTGTCATTCCTATTCAGAAATTTGTGATTTTAACTTGTAGTTTGGCAAAATTACGAGTTTCATAATATTAATTAAAATGTATCGATCCCACAATGGAGAAATCTACATCTGCATTTAACCCATCTCCTTGTGGAACAGTGGGCTGCCATTGTGCGGCGCTGGGAAGCAGTGTGGGGGTTAGCCGCCCTTTATAGGGCCCTCAGTGAAATATTTTGAAAATCAAATTTCAAGCTGGTATGTTATTGGCATCCAGGACAAGACCTTAGTACCTTTGTAACATTAAAAAAATATGGATATTTTGATGACAAAAATGAATGTGACTGTAATAACAAGAAACATCAACTTTCCTGAATATATTAAGAAAAATTATAAAAGTGCTCCTAAAAGAAATTCATTAAAAACACTCTGAGAGTGAAAGAAACACATTTTTTTTAGGTACAACATAACCTTAGAGGCATGCCGATACTGGCACTTAAATTTTTTAGTTTATGAACCTACATATAATTTAACTAGGCTTATTAACTTTTTAACTTTACGTTTTAACTTTTCAATTAGCTATTTACCTTTTCTTCTTGACTTAACTTTTTTTCAAATGAATCTACAGTAGGTAATATATCATTTAAGGGCTCATCTAATTGCTCAAATGCCAACATGAGATGTACAGCATGTAGCAGTATCTTTGCTGAATGGCTGGATATAGATCTTGTGCTTCTAGAACTTACTGAGGGACAGGGAGAGACTCCATTTGTAACGGTTATGCAATTGATCAATAACTGTAACTTGCCCTGTAAAGAGTTAAAGGTTTTGCTCAGGGCCTCAGAGTGTAGATTTTGGGGATCGAACCGGATACTTGCAACCTTCTAAGAGCACAAGCGCACTTCTCTGACCACTAGTCCAACACTCCCCCTTCAAAAGAAAAGATTTGCAAAACCATATCTGCACCCAACCATATCTGGCCCTCATGTTTTTCAGCCTCTCATCCAGTTCTAAGATAATTAATTTAAAGCTTAGTCAGTGATGCACGATTCCGAGCTCCAATCAGGGTCAGTAAACGCACCATATTTACTCAGCATGACATGGATATATGGACAGGTGTTAATCATGGCATGGCGAAGAAAATAAAAAGGTGATGCTGGATGTTGCATTTTTAAGAGAAGTGAACAAACAATAGTTTTTCTTTTAAAGTTAACAGCAATATTGTGTGTTTAGTTTGAGGCGCGGCAGTGGTAGAAAATTCCAATCTGGGGCGACATTATAGGAGTAAAGTAGCTGCAAACTTTTTCTTTGGAGTTTGGATTTAGAACAAGCAGCATTTATAAGGCCACAGGTTGACAGAGGATGTTATTAAAGCAAGTTTTTAGTTGAGTGGCATCAACGTGTCTTCCAGCGGACATCAGACACCGAGCTAAGGGAAAGCAGGGAAGCAGGTCATCCAGTTTAATGAAGCAAATAAAGAACCATCATGCTTATTTTATAGTTTTCAAAACACATTAAATGTTTATATTAGAAAAAAACCTTTATTGTTGTTGATTTAAGTTGGAAAAAAAAAAAAAAAAACACAAAGGCCCCTCTGAGATTTGGTAAAAAATATCCCTGAGACTTTTGACAAAATATCCTGAGGCTCAATAAGACAAAACTGGAAAATTTTTGCAGAACGTTACACCCTGGAATGATCTATTGTTTCTCTTTGGTTGCTTCAACACGATAAATCAACCACAGATCCACCAGAAAATCTGAAAGGAGAAAGTCTGACCATTAGCCTGTAGGCTGAGGTTATAGATTTTTGTTATACAACAGAAGCAACCCAAATCTCTACAGTATTTAGAATTTAAGTATTAAGCTTCTGGAGGAGACTAGTTAAAATCTGAACTTAAATTCTATGGAGTGACAATTTGTGTTTCAAAGCTTTCTAATATGGTCGAATAGAGAAGAAAGAGTGGGCCTGGTCTATTTGACAAGCTTTTTGATTAATAATTGAAATAGAGAAACAAAATTTTTTCATCTACTTGGTTATAGAAACAAATTCCTTTTATATTGGTACATTCGTTCTACCATTTATGAAAGCAAAGAACCTGTTTTGCAAATGGAAATAAAACAAAAACTGAACCAGAAATTTACATTTTTAAAACTTCATAAAAAAAACATTTAGCTTTTTTCTGTTTTTGCCCTTTTTAGTAAATTTTGTTTTTCAACGTTTTTTGTATAATTTATTATTTATAGTTCAAATATTATTCTTACAACTTAATTTTTTTTTTTTTTTACAGATTTTCCTTTTTTTTTCATTTCAGTTTAAACTGATCACACTTGTTCTGAACAAAAAAAGCAGAAAACAATAAAAAAAGTAGAATACATAAAAAATAAATCTGAGAAAACTAAAAAGCTACTTCCAAAAGATAAAAAAGAAAAAGAATTATATTCCTTTATTACATTTTCATTTACAAATTATTCTCTTTTCATGCAACAATACTGGAGCAGAATTCACTCCATACTTTTTCACAGCACTGTGCATGCTTACGTTTTTGCTATTCTTCTTCGTTTTTTTTTTCTTTTGCTATTTGAAGGGTTCAAAGTGTCCTTAAACCTCTACATAATTTATTACCTGAACTCTTTTTCAGAGATTCCAAAAACAGAAACCACCTTTGAAGAGCGCCTCATCCTGAAGGCCTTCTTACTGAAGTTCATGAACGCATACGCTCCCATATTCTACGTGGCTTTCTTCAAAGGGCGGTAAGCCATGAGTCCTCTGTGAAGCTATGTGTCGCCAATAAACAGAATGTGTTAAATAGCTTCTGTTTATTTGTCTCTTTAGGTTTGCTGGTCGACCTGGAAGTTATGTGTACGTCTTCAACGATTATCGGATGGAGGAGGTTTGTTTCTGCTTCGGCTATACGGATCAAGCACACTGTGATCCTCCATGACGGGGGTGTAAATGATACTCTGTGTTTCCCTTAGTGTGCTCCAGGAGGCTGCCTCATTGAGCTGTGCATCCAGCTCAGCATCATCATGCTGGGGAAGCAGCTGATCCAGAACAACATCTTTGAGATCGGCATCCCGTGAGTCGACCGCTTTCTTTTTACTTCGTTTCATCACAGATACTGGAAGAATTTCACATCATTTCTTCAGACATAGACTTAGACAGATTTATTTGTCATTTTGTTTACACAAGTGTGAAACAAAAAGAAATTACAACAGCTCTCTGGACAATTTCATTTTTTAAAGTGCAGCCTTGAAAAATAGTAAAAAAATATATAAAAACAGTAATATAAACAAATGACTGTAAATTTACAGTTCTAACATTTTCAGTTCATTTAATGATAAAATATAATAAATATAATAAAATACAATAACCCATTTTACAAAACATTCAGCAGTCTAATGGCGGTGGGGAAGAAGCTGTTTCTGAATCTGCTGGACCGGCATTGAATGCTGTGAAGCCTCTTCCCAGAGGGTAGCAGGAAGATCAGTCCATGGTGGGGGTGTGAGGGGTCAAAGATGATGTTACGGGCTGGGGACACGCAGCGTTGGGATGTAATGTCTTTAATGGAGGGAAGAGGAGCCCCAATAATCCTCTCTGCTGTTTTCACCTTCTTCCAGTCTGAGGCGCTGCAGCCTCCACACCACACAGTGAGACAGCTGGTCAGAACGCTCTCTATGGTGCTTCAGGAGAAGGTGGGGAGGATGGGTGGGGGCAGGTGGGCTCTCCTCATCCTCCGCAGGAAGTACAAGCACTTCTCTGCCCTTTTGACCCGTGAGGTGGTGTTTATATTCCAGGTGAGGGTGTCTGTGATTTGCACCCCCAGGAAATTGCTGCTTTTGACCACCTCTACAGCTGAGCTGCTGATGACCAGTGGAGCGTGGTTAGGACGGTTCCTCCTGAAGTCCAAGATGATCTCCTTCTTCTTCTCCACGTTTAGGATCAGGCTGTTATCTTTGCACCAGCTGCTCCACCTCCTCTCTGTAGTCCTGGTCATTGTCGTCACTGATGAGGCCCACCACAGTGCTGTCGTCTGCAAACCTGGGGACGCAGTCATGTGTCATGAGGGTGAACAGCAGGGGGCTCAGGACACAGCCCTGAGGGAGCCTGTGCTTAGACTGATGACATCAGAGGTGTTCTGTTTGATCCAGAATGACTGAGGTCTATTGGTGAGGAAGTCTAGCAGCCAATAGCGGAGGGGTGTATTGAATCCCAGCTCTTCCAGGTTGCCCATCAGATTCTGTGGGATGATGGTGTTAAAAGCTGAACTGAAGTCCAGGAACAGCATCCGCACGTGGGTGTTCTTCTCCTCAGGGTGTGCCAGGCTCAGGTGGAGAGCAGCAGAGATGCGTCTGGAACGGATTGAATGTTGGTGGCAGACTGGAGACGATGTGTTCTTTAACCAACCTTTGGAAGCACTTCATCATGATGGGAGTCAGTGCAACAGGCCAGTAATCATTGAATGAGGTGGCCTGAGGCTTCTTTGGGACTGGAATAATGGTGGCAGACTTGAAGCATGCTGGCACTACGTATCGGTGCAGCGAGGTGTTAAAGATGTCTGTGAGGACACCAGCCAGCTGATCTGCACACTCCTTATACACCCGCCCAGGTATGTTATCAGGCCCTGGGGCCTTCCTCAAATTGACTTTACTCAGAGTTATCCTCACTTCAGCTACGTCCAGGTTTAGTGTCTCCTCCCCCTGGTGTGGAACAGCTTTCACTGCTGGAGAGAAGTTGTTCAGTTCATTTAGGAAGTCAGTGTTTGCTGCATCTACCGGGGGGGGGGAGGGTGTGTTGTAGTCTGTGATCATCCGAATGCCTTTCCACATCTTCCTGGTGTTGCTTTCATCGTGGAAAAGATCCGGAATCTTCTTGTTTTAAAAAAAGCTTTTGTTCCGTATTTGTCATCTATAACTTCAGTACATTCATATGAATAAATAACTACATTTTTTTTCAGTCTGTGGTTAAAATACTGAAAGGTCAAATAAGTTGGGATGTTCCACTTGATGGTCTCGCTGCTGCCACCCTCTGGTTTGGAGGGGAATAATTCTTGGTTTTTAGTTTGTGAATTAGGATCACATTAGAACCACAAATCACCTGATGGGGCGGTCACGCCCCCCCTGGCCCCCCTTCTAGCTCTTCCCCTGCACCTTTCCAGCATTCTATCACTGCAGACACAGAACATGTAGGACTGAATGTTCAGAGTGATGCTTACTACCTGATAGAATCTGCAAACAGGACTTTTTTTATTTTCTGGGCCTGTTTCCCATTAAAGCAGCTTTCCAGTTTGTGGTGGTGGATTCCTGCAGCTCCTACATGGTCGCTCACAAAACTGTGCAAGATTCTTGTTGATAACATTTCCTCTGTGCTCCGTTTTGTCTAATTATAGCTCAGTTTTTACAAGCAGAACCAAAGGGTCAGAGGTCAGCTGTGTTTATACCATCCCTCAGCCTCAGGCGCCGCTGTTACTGTTTGCTATGAGCGCAGGTTAACCCCGGTGACCCGTTTGATTGGCCTCATCAAAGGTTCCAGTGTGCGCGATCAACGAGCCGTGACCCACACAGCGCGACCTTGTACTTTCCCTCAAGTGGACCGCGTCACATTCATTTGCTTTACAGCTTTCACACCTGGCAGGGAGGCGGCGGTTTCCCCAGGAGCTGTTTGCTGCTCGGGTTGAGGAAGATGTCTGGTTTAAAATGAAATCCACTCAGAAAGTTGACTGATTGGGGTCGTTTCTAGTTAATAGCAGCCAGGAGATCATCACAGCCACTTAGATTTAATGAACCCATGGCAGACCAGCTGTATGTTTAGGAAAGTTAAGCCAAAGATCCAAAATGTTCTAGTAGTTGAGGCAGTGATTGAGAGCTTCCTCACATTATGATGCTGCCACTATTTTACAGCAAAGGGAGGGTTTGTCTTGGCTGAGAATGCTTGAATTTACACAGATACTCACCAGATAGAGCTGGATTATTATAGATATATTTGTTCCAATACTGTTGTATTTAAAGCAAGCAAACACCTTTATAATACAGGAAACTTGAAAAACATGTTTTATAAATGGAAATAAAAAAAATGTATTCAATAAAAAAAAAGTTATTTATAATTTTTATACAAAAGTTACACCTATATTTGTTCAGTTTGCTGTTTTTCCAGGGTTTATTTTCCATATTGTATTTTTTTTTTCAAAATATTTTTTCAGATTTCGTAATTATTTGCTTCATTTATTTATTTATTTATTGGTGATTAAAATAATGCCGCAGTGTGTTATTTAAGTCTCAGTGGAATATGTGTGGTTTGATCACAGACAAGGAGAATACAGTATTTCTACCGGAATCAAATAAGACATGAAATAACCAGGGGAAAATAATCTGGAAAAAATCTAATCTGAAAAGATATTTAATAAACATGTAATCCAAAAAAAATGTTGTAATAATAATCTGAAAAATTTGTGAAAAGCTAAAATAAATGTTAAGAGAAAAAATTATTCTAAAAAAAATATTTGTTGAAGATAAGATCTGAAAAAGTATGAGCACATAGGATCTAAAAAAAGAAGAAAACTGTAAAAAAATATAGGTTGAACACATTAATTATTTTCAGAATCTCTTTTTTTCAAAAATTTTTTAAACATCCATTGTTGAAACACATTTTCTTCAAATTTCTTGCATTTGAACTGTGTTCTTTCTCATCCCAATTTTTGAGACAAATTTCACTCCATATTTTATGAGACAAAAATAGATAATTGTTTTTTCAACACCTTATTTATCGCATGAACTACAGCAATAGAGTTTCCAACCAGATCTCCCCTCTTCCTCCATTTTTTATCCTCATCTTCATCGCCTCTGTTTTCTACATCGTCATTTTGCTGGATAGAAATGGCGCTACAGGACCTAATTTAAGTTATTTACCCAGAAGGCATTGCAGCATAACCGACATGGTGTCATACGTGTGGCAATATTCCATTTAAACATATTAAAACTAAACAGCGTACAGGATTTTTATTATATTTTATTTACATTGGAAATAGATATTTCTCAAAAAAGAGTTTTTATAAATAATCCTGAATCCTTTCTTAAAAGGGCCTATTGGGGTCAGAAGGAGAGTTTCTCTGTTTTTGCAAGACAACAATAATATTTCACAAGCAGGCAGAACTATTGTCATAAAGGATGGGGAAAGATGATAACAGTGAAACCATGCAGATAAAAAGTAAACAGTCCACAATTGCAATTCAATTGTAGATCGAGAAATAACAGAAATATATCCCTGAATATCTGCTAGTCCAATAGCAGAAATGATAAAGTATTTATTTTTCTTTCTGCATCTTAATAATCGATCCAAACTCTCCACCAAAGCTTCAGGATCTTGGTTGGACAACTTTCAGGAAGGGCTTCCTTTCACAGAGCACTAATGAGGGAATTGTTTTCTCAAGGTGACAGACGGTTGTTAGGTCGGGGCCTGCATGTCCTCCCAGAGAGGATTCATTTCTATGGAAGAATCACACTCACGTCATTCTGAGATCTCACCTTAAGAACATATGATCTAAACGAGAAACGGAATAAACTTTTTACATGCATCACCTCAGTCATTATGAGCTTAAAGTAATATTACAAGCAAACAATCTTATACTTTTGCTAGATTGGTGAGAAGATGCCACTTAATTTATGTTTTTCCTTTTTTAGATGAACTTATGCACTGCATCTGATATCAAGCACTGTATAAACAAACACATGTGCCACCAATGCTCATATGTTGACCCAATTTAAACCATTATCAGAATAACTCCATGCTATAGATGGAGTTATGCTTAAACAGTCTGTTTCATCCGTTCACAAAGAGAAATTACGATATGTGATAGTTTTACTTTGTGGTTTTAGCCATCTAAAACTCAAAAGTCAGTTTTATGTTGCAATTCATAAACAGTTAATCTTTACAATTTCAAAAAACCATCAGATTCTTTACCAGACTGACAGCTCTAGCCTAGACGCTACAGTTGCTGGGTATAGAATGCTGCCGTGCAGTTTATCATTGCTTTTGCAGAACAATTTTATTTATAGAATTAATAAACTTTTTTTTTTTACTTTTTTATTAATTAATGCCTTGCTTTATATAAAAAAATATTGAAAATGTTGTAAAAATAGCAGATGGAGTTCAACACATTATTTTGGCTTAATTTGGACAAATTTCCCCCTTGGTTAACGCTGCTCAGGGGTCAAAGTAGATTTAAATTCACAGGGTTCTGATATAAAAAAAAAAAATACAGAGAGAACCTACATAATTCCCTTATAATGCCACGACAATCCAGAATTTCAAAAATATGTTAACTACAATGTTGAAATATTCAAATAGATTGAAACTAGAACTATGAGAGTGAATATTCAAAGATCTATGTACCTTTTCAACCAGCTCTTTATTCAAAACTAAACAATATGCAATAAAATATTTACTTTGGGTATAATTACGTAGAAATTAAAAAAAGGTTTTGCATTACCTCTTGTGAGTTGGAAGAAATAAAATCTTGATAGTGAGACAAAAGGATTTTTTTACGTTTGGCAGAAGATGATCAGTAGCGAGAGCAGGAAGAGCCATACTGCTGAAAGCGAATCATCAGTCTGGAGCGCAAACCACAGCGTCTGAAATTAACCGAAGCTTGTCAGAGTTGAGCGTGCAGTACCGGATCATTCCAGCCAGCTGGAATGCTGCAGGATCTCCATGATCCATCTGTGATCATGCAGAATTTGCACCGCTGCACGCCAGGTGGGCGGCAAGACCAAACATAAACGGCTGGTACTTCTTAGCCTGTCTAACAGATTACAGCACAATGATGCATTTAAACGTTTGACGGACCCCCCACTAACGTTTAATTTAGTCTCGTCAATGAAAACTCACACCCATGAGTCGTCATGTTTTCGTCATCAAAGATCGTTGTGACGAATTCTTTCTGTGTTGCACATTTTTCATTTTAAGTTTCTACATTTATTATTCATCATTTATGAATAATAATGATTTTTAAATGATTTGACAGATTTTATACATTGAAATTTTATTGTTTCAAAATGGGATTTTTTTTCACATTTCTTATTAACAGATTCTATATTTTGTATTTGTATTTCAGATTGAGTTTTATGAATTGGATTGTTTTCAAATTGCCTGTTAAAGATCATATTCTCTTCATTTTAAGTCCAATACAAATGCTTGCACTTGACCATTAAAAATGTTAACGTCCAGCAGACAAGCAGAAAATAATTCCATTTGAAAAAACACACAAAAAATATAAGTATGAAGCCTAAATAAAAGCAAATGATTAAAAAAACAAAATCTGGGAAAACAACTAATTTATTCTTAAAACCTTAAAAAAATTCCGGATTGCAATTTTGTCTGCGTTTAAATGCTAAAAAAAAAAAAAGTTTTTTGATGAAAAACACAGAAATGTTTTCTGAAACATGTTTTTTTTCTTGCAATAATGATTGTACAAAATTCACTCGATAAATATGCATGGGAAAAGACTAGAAAACACCTGACAAAAGGAAAAACAACCTAAACTAGTATGGCAAACCCCTAATAGCAAAAATAATAGACCCAAATAGCAAAACCTAAACACAAAATTCATGAAAAAAAAAACGACAATGAAAAGCTCCAAACAGATAAACAAAAACTAATACTTAAAGCTCTCAATAAAGAGAGGAGAAAACTACCATACAAACCTGGATACTTTCAGTTACAGGTTCAGCAAGTTTCAAAGTCATGCAAACACCCAACCCACCGTACAGTCTGCACACAATGCCAGAAGTATGTGACTTTGCTCAGGGATTATTACTATTTACATTCAGAGAAAACATCTGTACCTCGTAGCAACGTTCACATCACACGATCCTCTCTAATATAATGACTCCTGTTAACCCTCCTTCTCCATTTTTCCACTTAATTCTTTTGCAGATTCAGGTTTTCATGTGTGATATCAGTCAATCTCCTGCCTTAACTTGTCTGTGGAAGCAGCTAGCCTCCGGTTGTTAGATTCCATGGAGATGTTTACCTCCTAGATGCTGTAAACACTTTATTGTGATACATATATTATGACAGAGTGCAGCAAACCTTCGATGGATCACAGAAAATAAACTTGTTTACGACCCATGCAGCACAGGAATGTTTACTAGAGCCAAAACTAAGATACAGCTGTATTAGTGCCTTTCAATCTGTTTGAAGTTTCTGAATTTGGGTCTAAACGTCTCTTTGCCTTGTTGGGCAGGTTTAATCTGACTAAAACACATCAGGAAAAAACTTCTTAATGTGGTTTGTGTGGAGTATTCAGGAGTGGTCAGTATCTTACAAATTCATGAAATATCAACCCAATTGATTAGACTTTTTCCACTTTTTTGTTTTGTTTTTTTGCCTTTACTTTAACTCTATAATAATTTGTAATAAGGCTGCTCAAAGAATAAAGGAAAGTAATCAGCCGTGGCTTGCTACCATCTATACAATGGATCTAAATATAAAGATACTATAATTATAACTGCACAAATTCCATCTAATGAAATAACCTTATATAGAATTTATTTAACAATTTGGAATTAGTTTTTGACAAAAATTCTTAGTAGATTGCAGGAATTACAGCTTAAAACTGTAATCTATACACATATATACACACACACAAACTTCTCACTACCTTTGATACATATATATATGTAT